AGGTGAAACATGCAGCAGGATAACAGTGAAGCCAGGCTGGGATGGGGACACCTCCTGCCTCAGGGAGACATGAACTCATTTCAACACTTGCATAACCCAGTGAGTACTCATTCCGTGTGTAACAACAGACATTGCATTGATAAGAAGCCCATTCACTGAAGTAGAGTTACATTTGTACCCTTAAAAGAATAAAAATTATACTTTAGCATCTCACTCAGAAAGACAAACAATTTCTGAGACATACATTGCATAAAACTCAAACCTTTTTTCCCCTTGATAATAGCAGGATCCACCAATACAACACCATCTGAAAGAAAGGGAAAAAATTAAGATTAACATAGATAAAAGCAGGGTTGAGAGCAGGAAGAGCAGCACATAACCTTGTGGACTTACCTACAGGTTCCACATTCCCTATGTTGTCAATGAAGTCCTGCTTTCCCAGGTAGATGGTCAGCTGTGGGGAGAGGATGACAACAGCTGAACCATAAAATGTTTGTGGTTGTTGAGGCAAGGGGGACACACACATCAGCGAGCTATAAATCTTGCAGAGATATGAAGAATTCAATTTTAAATGGAATATTTAATTTTTTTCCAGCAAACATGCAACCCCCACCAGACTCAACAGGATTATTCACATGCAGGACATCAGAACTGAAGACCTGATCTAGACAAACTCCCAAAGGTACAACACAAATACTTGTGCATGAGACAAAGAAGGGTAGATTTAAAGATTTTTTGGTGCTGTCAGGTTGGAAAGACAATGAATCAGGTTTGTTTTGAACATTTACCAGTAGAAGTACAACACAGGAGAAGAGTGAGGTGAGCTGCCTTCTCTTGTATTATAACACATGGAAAGTTTGCCCTAAAAACTGTTTACATCATCTCCTCAAACTTAGTGGTAATATGGGTCACACTCCTTCTTCAGAAAAAAATAAAGGGGACAGGAAGGAGCTTTCTAATAAGTCTTCAGTCTGACTACAGGTAAAACTCAAACCTAAATAAGCCCAATATTACTGTACTCACAGCTTTGTCACGGGTACTTTTTCTGAAGATAACTTGTTTTTGAGGAGAATCAGCATTCTTCCCACCAATCCCAGTCTTTTGAGACTCAGGGCAGCTCATGGTCAAAGACAGGGATGTGACTGTGGTTGAATGAAGCTTTTCTGTCCCCAAATGTCCTGTGCCAGATGCCTGGGAAAAACAGGTGGATGACATAAACGCAGTAGGTAAAGCACTGTACTCCTGTGCTGTTTCAGACCCCCTCACACATCCAAATGGTGGCTCTGTCTAAAAGCTACCAAGGTGGTTTGTGTTGATAAGGAGTGAGACCAATTCCCAAATAAGAACTCATCTGTGCTGTTGCATTTTCCTCAACCAGAACTCAGTGCAACCCATTATGGGCAGAGCAGCACTGAGCTCAAACCAGAATGAACCATAAGGATAGAACAGTCCAGCCACCTGCCCAGAAAGGCAATAATTATACTTAGAGGTAGGGAACAGCTTGCACCTGAGGGGTAGAAAACATACGGAGTAAAAAATATGGAATAAAAATTCTTCAGGAGAAGAAAAATGAGGGAGAGAAAGGTGGAGGGAAGGTGGGGGAAGAGAATGGGGGGAAAATAAGAGAAGCAGTGGAAAAAAGAAGAGAAGGGAAGAAGACAAAGGGGAGACCACAATGGCACAAGAGATATCCAGAGAGAGAAGTCCAGAAAACTTAAGCGGTACAAAGTAGAGAGATTAACTTTTCATTCTGTTCTAAGTCACAAAATAGCACCCAGTTAATGATCAGACAGCAAATTTAAAATAAGGTAAAGCTTTTCCCCCGTTAACAGAAGATTCGAGGTGGCTCTGGTAATCACCAATATGAATTGAATCCCAGGATTAGACACATTCACAGGGAAAAAGGCTTTTGGCAGCTGTTGGAAAAGGATCCAGGAACAACCTTAACCCTCCCTGTAGGATTCTGAAGGAGAGGAGCAGCATCAGGAAAGGATGATGCCACACATACCCTGTCCTTGCACTCCTCACCATCAGAGCTGTGTGAATGAGAGCACTGTGTTGGACAGACCCCAGTCTGATGGGGTGTGACTGTCCTTGCAATTTGCTCCCATTCTATTTCTCAGCTTGTCTTATCATTTTAAAACTGCTTCAAGAGTAAACAGTTCTAGAGCCTATTTGCAGGTAACAAACCAAAGAAAAAGGAAACACTTGCCTTGTTGGAAAGCTGAAAAAAATGTCAGACAGACATTAGAAACAGACCATACACAAGTAAGCATTTCTATTTTCATTAAGTAGGTTTTTCAAGCCCAGACCAGTATTTGTTGCTGACTCGACATACTGTAGACTCAAACACAGCAGCAAATAACATTAAATACCTTGCTGTGCTCCAAGTGGGACAGGAGCTTCCACGGACAGTGATGGGAACTTCGAAATTATTGAAGAAAGATGAATTTTCCGAGGCAGCTGTATCCTGTGCTTCTTTGCATCTCCCAGGGGGAATTACTGCCCTCCTCACAAACAAGGAAGACAATTTGTAGGGGATTTGAAAGCTTGTCTCTGGTTGCGTCCATCCAGGATTTCAATAACTAATCCCTCTTCAAGAGCAAATATTGTACCTGGGCTAAGATTCAGCTGGCAAGTGGTTAAGTCAGCAAGAACAAGGCATTACCTAAGGACACTCAGCTAGTCAGTGAAGAGGTCTGCAATGTCCTGTTCACGTTTTGAAAAGACTACAGAGTTATGTAGCACAGGACAGCTACTGAAAGCAGTTTATTCTAAAGCTCTATCTCTCCTTCCTAGGGCTGCAAGACATGCAGCCTGGTGAGAAACTGAACAGACAAGAGCCATTTATGAAAAAGGGAGTTTATAAAACACTACAATGGCATTTTGATGGCCTGTCAAACACTGAGAACAATGCACTGTTCTCATGATCACTAAGCAATTTATCTATTACTGCTTCACCAGCAGCCAACTGACAAGCTGATGCAAAACAATACACTGCTGGTTGTACAATCCCCTCCTCAATTTACTTTAAAAAGCACAACATCCGGGATTTAAGAAGGACAGATATTTCAATTAACTTCAGCTTTACTGTTCCTTAATCTTCCAAGAGTAGCTTTCTCCCCACAAGTGAATTTGGCCCTAGTATTTTGCACAACAGTATATGTTAACTTTTGTCTTGTGAGCTGCAGGAACAGCTGTGGCTTTCCTCCGGCTGCATCTGTTCATTTGATTACAAGGATCACATGATATCCTGTCCACTTGCCAGCCTAACAGCTCCCTCCAGCTCAAGCAACCTTGCAGTCACAGATCAAGCTTGCTTTTCACAAACAATCACTGACATTTGCCTGAACATATTGGTCCAGGCTACACAAATTACTCAAAATAAAAGAATGACAGAACCAATATTCTCCAGCTCTTTCAGGGCTCCAGCAACATTTTATTAACTGAAGGGGGATTATTTGGAGAGCTTAATCACTACTCTGGCTAATCAACTCTGGCAAACACAAACCAGCCAGGCTGGAACCACAGAAATTCACACGTGCCTGTGCTGCAGAAGGGAAGCCAGATCGTTGTTGAAAGAAGTAACAAAGAAATCCCAGAGATGAAATTCAGTCACACTTCGCAAAAGCAAAAGGGAGGAAGCTGGTTTTGTACAAGTCTGTGCGGCAGCCACTGCAGGGTTATTAGTTCTGTAGGAGAGGATGAACATTCCTGTTGGCACATGTACCATTGCAAACATCCTCAGAGAATCTTGCAAACAGCTTCTCCATAACACATGCTCCTAGTGCACCCTTAATCCAGAGAAAGATGTCCAACCCACGCCCAATTCCACTTGAAGGGCAGCTCCACCTCTGGCAGCAAAACTGCTACAGCCACCTCTGCACTACAGGTACCTTCATTTGCTCTTCTTCCTTCTGCAGGCTGAAGCAGAAATGGAGGCAAGAGAAGTAATCAAAATATAGGAAAAAAAAAAGCTAAAATTGCTCACTAGAATTTCTCACATACCTTGGTGCTAAGGAACTTTAATCTAAAATGCTTAAGGACTTAGCTAGCTGGCTGTTATCCTTCAGCATTATTAACCTGCTTCATAACAGCATCAATGGGCCTAACAAAGTCCTTTGGGTAAGATCTGTGCCCATGCTGTAGAAAAACACAAGCGTAGCAGTGTAAATTATAAACATCCTAAACCCATTCTGATCCTCCTCAGCAGAGCCTGCACTTTTTATTATGCTAATCTCCCAATAATCTTTCATCATGCTGACTTGCCACTTCATGATCTGCTTTCCTGCAGTAACCAAGGTCACCTGGACTCGTGGCAGGTGCCTTTTCAAAGACCATATGCCACTGCGGCAGACAGAAGAAAAAATATCTTGCCCTTCGAAACCGCTCAGACTGCCAACTTTCCATTTTTGCTACAGTTCTCACATCCACGAGCTCAATAAAAGCTTCTTTTCTGATGGAAAACAGAGGGTGGCCAGTGACAGCTATTGGTTATGAAATATGTACTGAAGAGCTGAAGACTTTGCTTCATCACTCTGAAGCTGGAACCAGAGCAATATCTTCAACGGGGTTTTTGTGTTTTTAAACAAATGTGCAACTCCTATTCCTGCCTTAAAAACTTGACAAGCTAGCAGTCAAAGTCTCACAGCAGAAAAAGACACCTATTTTTAGCAGTGTTTGAAATACAGATCCTGATTTCCTCAGTTCAGTAGTTTATCTAAAACATCCAACAATACATCAACCTTTCAAGGACAGAGAAAAAGGCAGTTGTTCAATGAGGCAAGACTTTCTTCAGTCTCAAGGTAGGACTACTGAGACAGCACAAACCTGGGCTGCACCTGCAGGACATCTAGTCCCAAGCTAAGAGCATTATCCTTTTTCCCCCTCGACACCAAATTCCACAATTCACCAGGAAAATGGTATTTCAGGTCACCCTCTGCACTCATTCCAAACCAGATCTCGCACACCGATGCACAAATAAATAAATCAGAGCAGTGTGGGGTTTTAAAAGCAGAACACAAGTTTATTTACAATCAAGTTCTTATGGGCAGCTGAATAAATAAAAACTTTGCCCCATGTACTCTAATTCCCCTCTGCAGAAAGTGTCTGAACGAAAGGCTGGGTTAGAGGGAGCCTGTCAGAGCAGCTCCCCCAACCCAGCCTCTCCAGAGAACACACTTCCATAGTAAAACACTATCGGGAAAGAAGAAAATAAAGTGCAAATAAAAAGGCAATAAAACGCTGGTGGCTTGTCTTGAGGCCCAGATGATGTGGAAAGGTTTGGCTGGATAAAGATATGCCAGGTAGCTCACACTCAGACACATCATGGTTTAGGGTGCCAGAACAGGGACAGAGCTAAGACACCGCTCTGCACCACAGAGGGCTCCAGCGCAAATGGGAATATTGCACGTGTGCTCAAGAACGGGGCAAGTGGCCTGGGATTGCCAGCACCAAAACTATGGATTTGGGATTTGATGCCACTGCTCCCCTGTGTACTGACAGCCGCCAGGACAGGACGGATGAACAGAAAAGGGAACCAAACATCTGTATTCCAGGACTGAAGTCACAGGATTACTACATTCCTCATCAGTGCAGCACAACTTCTAGAACAACCTCATCAAGCTTAGCTCTCTCCTCACACCCACTAATCAAACTGCCTGTGGTATAAAAAGATTAAAAAACTCCTATTTTGTGATGCCCAAGCTGTTGAAGGGCATTTCGACACAAGGGTGCAGAAGTCCTGAAGAACAAACCGTTGCCTCAAGAACCGATACAAAGAGTTCACAGGACAGTGCTGGAGAGCCTGTGCCAGGATCAAAACAGATCTAAACTGAGTTGATGACTCAAAGGCAGAGCTGTCAGAGCCATGGGAGACTCTCTTTAAAAGCTGTTCCAAAACTGCCTAGGACGTGTTTCAGGATCTTCTCACCCCATGCCCGAACTAGGCCACCAGAACAGAACACAGGAGACAGAACATGCTTTAAGTCAGCATACACAATGACTTCTTTCCAAAGTTTCCACCTCAGAAGTGCTGTAGATACATTTGTGTGACAGGATATTTGGCACAGCTGTCTGGTGAGGAATCCCGCTAGTATCTTCAGCTCCGTGTGGTGCATAGATACTGCAAGTAAAGGCATGACTAAATAGCATTCTCCATCTACAACAGCTAATCCCATTCCGAGTACCACAGTGCAGTTATGGCCATGAGAAGTCTCTGACTCAGGCTCCTTTCTCCATTGCTTTAGAACTTCCCTCTGGAAAGCAAAGCCCATGTGCTTGGCAATATCCTGACTCTGGATGGATGTGGGCTCGGGTCTCCATGCTGTGCAGCCACGGACCAGCACCACCACACACAGCCTTTCACCCTCCGTCAGTCAAAACTCAGCCCACAGCACAGCCTTGTTTCCTTTGTCCACACTGACCACGTGGGTACCCGCTGGTGACCACGTGACTGCATTGATAGAAGAACTGAAAGGGAAGGCAAGAGTAAGTTTACAAAAAAGCTGAATTCCACAACAGCACTTAGCACTGGAATGAAATACTATAATATTATTACCAATAAAAAACCCCCCCGCTTTCTCACATCTCAAGAGACTTGGGCTTTTAATCAGTCTGAGGGAGGTACTATTTCTTCAAAATATATTGAATGCACTTTTTTAGAATCATATCTCAGTTTAACAAGGTAACAACAACAAATCTAATCTAATTCAATCTAGAGAATACAGCCATGAATCCACAAAAACTTTGCATATTAATAATTCTCACATGCCAATAAAAGTTGCGAAGCTGTACAACTCCAACTTCTGATAGCTCAGCAAGATCCCCAACTGAGATCCCCACCCTAAGCTGCATGTCCCACTTCCCTCACCTGTGATGCTTTGCAAGCGTCCTCTCCAATTTCCCAGTAAGCACATTCCAAATGTAGAGGGCCCCATCAGCTGAGCCAGCAGCCACATAGTTACCATCAGGGCTGTGAGATCAGACCAGGTGCAGAAGGCAAAGAACAATTTGCAAGTCAGCAATTTTCAGCACGCACCATCATTCCACCCACAACTTCCTAAGCAAGCAACTTGGCATGAAATAGTCTTTTAGGAGTTATGTGTTATCACCTGCTAATACTAAGAGGTGAAAGCACTTTGAAATTAGAGCATTTCCAAGACATTGGATCAATATTTACAGATACACTCTGGCTTGACCAAGAGGTAACCTTGGACAAATTACAAACTCTGCCCCGTTTTTCTAGCTGTAACTGGGGACCACTGCAGTCAGGCATCAGGAATCACTCAGTTCAGCTGGGGAAAGGTTTATCAGGTATGCTGTTTATGTCTGACCTTACCTGAACACTACTCTCGTCCAGTCAGAGCCACACTTGAATCCCTGGGCACTGGAAAGTTAGAATCAGAAAACTGTTACCTCATTTATGAGAATACTTAGTAAAGACAATGTTAAGCATTTCTGCATGGTTCAGAATAAACTCCAGCATCCCTTTATCCCAATTCATGTTTCTCATACACCTTCTCTCAATGACACCTGTAGAAATTCTTTCCTTTAGAACACAGACTTCTAAGCCAAGCTGCCTTCTTTAAAGAGAAACATGAGAAGATCCATTAGAGCAGACCTTTGCTGTATCTAGACATTCTAGAGAACTATGCCATGTAGATAAGTGAGGAGACCGCTGTCTTCACAGAGGTCCTGGAAACCACTCCAGCACTAAGGGTAACCCACAATACAAGGTCCTGAAATTCACAGCGTTCCTGTGAGGAATACACTCACCTGAACGTCTGCTTGACAGCACCGACCCGCAGATCAATGATCTTGAGTAGATCATCACGGGAACAGGTCAGAAGCTCTGTTCGCTCCGGGTTCAGGTCCAGAGCTGTGATTCTCCCAAGCAACTCCAGTTCTTTTACTATGCTTTCAGTCCTAAAGACAGAAAAAGGAAAAGAAAAAAAAAAAAAAAAAAGCTGTGAACTAGGGTCCAGAAGCCAAACAAGTGCATCAAAACTTTGACTTGTCCCAGTGTGGAAGAGAAGAAAAAGGATTACTGGTTTATTCTTACATTTGGTTTCTTTCCCAAACTAGATCCCACCTTGTAGATAGCATTTCCAGCAAGCAGTTAAGACACTACTTTCCTCACAACCCCACCCTAGAACAGCAAGTACTGACCAATGAAAAATACTTATCACCAAACAGGCCATCTTTCCAGAAAAGAAATGGCATCCAAAATAACAAAAAAAACCCCCAAACCTGTAATACCAAACAGCCTAAAAGGAGTAACAAAACTCTCTTTAATGGCTTTTTGCCACTTTTATAAGTCTCCCCAGCTACCAAGCTCAGGAAGAAGAGTTCCCTACTTCTGATTAACCTGACAGCAAACCCATAACCACTACTACACCATAAGCTCTCCTACATTAGTTTTACCTGATGTCCCAGAAACGAATTTTCTTATCAAAATGTCCACTCATTACACACTGCTCAGTACACACGATGTCATTGCAGCTAGATCCTGCAAACACTGTTTTTATACCTAAAAAGGAGAAACCAATGGTGACATGCTTAAATTCACATTGTCCAAACTGATGAAAACTGACAGAAAATAATCCCTAAACCCTCCCTCTGCCATACAGTGGCCACACAGAGCAGTGCCCAAGGAGTGGCACAGGGTGAACCGTCTTAAAATAATCCTGATTAAGTCTTCAACCTTTCTGCCCTTCTCAATCTCCTTTGCTGGGACTTGAAAAGTTCCCATGACAGCTGCTTTACTTCCACTTCATATTTAGCCAGCTATAATTTGCTACTATTAAACAACATGAACCTGCCTCCTTGACCTGTGTTTGCAATTCAGGTATCAAGGTAACTTTGAATCTCAAATGCTCTCTCAGTGCAAGCAGGTTTAAGAGCCCCCTGTAGGAGAAAAACCAAGGAAATAAAGTGTTCCTCCCAAAGAAAAACCTGGATCCTAGCAATTCCTTCATTTGAGATGCTGAAATTTTTGGTATGTTTCCAAGAGACACTTCCATCCACCTCAGAGTTAAAAACCTGGCCTGGCTCCAAGTTTTTAGTGGAAGACTAAAATACCCATCCCCAGACTGGTAAACAAAGAACACTCCCAAAAACAGCTGCTCTCAGTGTAATAGCATTAACAGTGCTTCCTGCACACACAGGATTTCTTATTCCAGGTAACAGGCAGAAAGAATTCAGTAACTTAAAAAAAAACAGAAAATGGAATGACTGCTAGCTTTTGCTATTTTTATACAGGCAAAAAGTCTGTTCTGACACCAGACTACCAGGAGCATTCAGAAGCACAAAACATGGATGAAAGGCAGGAGTTAGGCTTCCTTACAAACTTTGCTGCGGAGGTCCCAGAGCTTGAGGGTCCGGTCATGACTTCCCGAAACAATACGTGCATTGTCCAGCAAGAACTTGGCTGACAGAACTTTACCACTGTGACCTGTAAGGGTGTGCTGGGGACACAAGAAAGACATGGTCAAACTAAGTATTTCCACTCTCTCAAATTGTAATTTTAATGTCTCCTGCTTTGCTTGACAGAAAAAACATCTATTACAGGTAAACAGAGATCACCATTGAGTAGGAGTGTGAATTATCAGAGCCCAGCCTGGAGCTGGGAAATACAGGTCACCTTTCGCTGCTGTTTCTGCAGTTACTCAGGAACCTGCCATCTCCTTCCTCAACACTCTGTACACCTACATTTCATGGACAGATGGCAACTGCAACACAGCCTTGCAGGACAAACCAAGGGGTTAAAGCATGCTGAAAATGGAAACTGTGCCTTTCTGCTTTCATATGGAGCTTCCCTCAAGGACACAACAGGGTATGGAGTCTCAACTGTTATTACATCTTAAAGCCTGAAAGCTGAGACAACCAGGGATTTCAGAAAAATTCCCTACAGCAGCTTCTTTAAGTGCACAGGGAGGCTTGCTGGGGCTGAGAACATGAACCACATTCACTTAGAGTTGCTCAACATTTACATACTAAATCACAAAATAGACAGTGAATTACTAAAGTAAGAGTTATGACAAACAAGCCAAATCTTTGTAGACAGCTAAGATTTTTTTAAAAAACACTCAACAGAATATCAAATTACACAAAGCAATCTGGGCTTGGGGAAACACAAAATAAAAGCCCTTAAGAATGGAAAGAAATAGGAGCTACGTTTGGGAAAAGAACCTCAAACCTGATACACAAAACATCATCCCAAAAACACCACCTTGCCTTAAGAGAGGAATACAAACTCCAGCAAGGAGGATCTATCTTCTACTCTGCATCTCTCTCCTGCCCTTGCTGCACAGACATCACATACACGTGCTGCATTTAGGCAGGGAGTTTTGGCAAAGTTTACAGTGATTTCAGCTTTACTACCTCCTGCTTATGTGCAATCCATGAAGAGTCCACAGTGCTCACACTTGAAACAGAGAGGACTACTTCATCTCGGAAACAATGAGTGCACTCCAAAGAATTACAAGAATATTATGTGAATGTTTGCAGGTGTAACTAACCTTTTGCAGTGAGTCATCTATGTCTGCTAAACTTGTATTCACTATAATTCACATCCAATAGTAGGATTTGCAGCCAAGGAGAAGATGCAAAAGAACTGATACTCTTTGCTTTCCTGAGACTTGACAACTCCACACTGAAAACTACCCAATGAATTACAGTGCATCTGTTGGTTATAACCAACACTGAAATGTCAGAAGATTTGAACATCACACTAGTATCTTACTAAAATAAAAAGTTGAGAAAAAGTGTACACAGGAAATTACAATTAAAAAAGGCTCTTGGAAAGCTGTGAAACTTTCTTTTGGTCTATCAAAGGATTATTTTCAAATCAGAGCCAACTGTTAGAGAAGAATATGAGTACAAAGTATTTGGGAGGAAAGGAGGATCCTTTCAAAAGACATTGAGGATGATGTCCAGCATGTTGAGGCTTGCTGCCTTGGACAGCCAGGCAGAGGGCTCCTTTTCAAGAATGCTGCTACTGACTTAAAACAGAAATCCCTCTTTGTCTTCCACAAAGCCCTTTTCAGCAGTCTGTCCTTTGAGAGAGGCTGAAACGTTGAGGTGGCTCCCCATAAATCATAATAAGCATTTAAAGTTCTCCAGAGGGATACAAAAAAGTGCACACACACTTTATGTGACTAGTTTTTTCTAGTGGGGGGTTGTATTGGGAAAATACACAGTAACTGGAGTTTCCAGCAAGGGTGTGTGGAGATCAACACTGTATTTTAGGTCTTGCTGTGAAGACCTTCAAGAGATAAAGAACCTCTCAACAAAAAGAACTATTAAAAGTGTCTGTTAAATGCCCAACTTCCAAAATTGCCATGTCCCCATTAGACAAAATTGGGAATACAAGACATGAACAACCTTGCATTGCTTTGCCTTGCAAGACTCACCCGTAATCGATTGTCATCAACTGTCCAGATTCTGCTGGCAAAGTCATTTGAGGCTGCTAAGAGGTAAGAACCCTGTAAACACAAAATTAATTTCAAATTCCTTCTGCTAGTCGATATTCAAACCAAATTAAAATAGTTCCAATAAAGCATTAAAACCGTATTATTGCTATTTTGTCAAAGGCAAAAAGGAATAAAACTAAAATCACAATAGCAAATGCCAGTATGGAAAGCTAATGTAACCCTTACCAAAGGGCTATGGCACCTGCTTCTCCCCAGAATGGAAGGGTTTGTAGAATCGTGGCTATAGACTATAACAAGAATAATGTATACCAACTATAACAATAACCAGACCAGAAAAAGGACATTCATCTTTCCCTTCTGCTGCAGTGAGAAAATGTGTTCTAGTTTACCCTCATCTGTTGTGGAGTTGTTTTCCTCTTTTTTGTTTGGTTTTTTTTTCTTTTTCAGAGGAAAAATGCCCTGCATCATCTTCCCCCACTGCTTAGAAAAGTCTCAGAGTGAAATTAGCCTGATTCTCGCCATTTTCATTAAAATTCTAGCATTTTAAGCTAATACCTCAAAAATTAAATCTGCCTGAGGAGAGAGAAATCTACTTGTTAATGGCTTTAGGCTTAGGGCTTCCACAAGTCACCCATGATGGAGAATGGCCATCACAAAATTTATGCTTGCATTCCTGTCCATCACAAAAGACTTTCCTGAACACCTGTAAATCCTTTGGTATCTCATCCAGACAATTCTCACAGCAAGTGTGTTCAAGCAATTTGCCAAACCTCAGGACTAGTTTCTCCTGCAGATTAACAGCACATCTCTAACGAGCTGGTCAGTGTCCAAAAGAAGGATCCTCTTGGGTGTGTATCATAATTTAGCACACAGAACCACCAAATGGCAGAAATCCTATCAGCTTTGTGCTATGGAAGAGGTCTCAGCAGAAAAGTCAGATCACATGTCCAGTTAGACCAATCCAAGACCCCAAACTCCTTCAAGCAGGACTGTTGGATGCTGATCTCAGTCATGTCTCTGCTGCTCCAGGTGAACATGACCTGAGCACATCTCACACTGTCAGCAAACACTCTGCCAGCCACAACATTGCTGTGCTATGGCTGGGGAGAAACTGCTGGGAGAAGAGGGCATGGAACTGCAAGTCTTGGGATAATCAGACCTTTTACTATTCATCACAGACCTCAGTAAAGCACTTGTGGAAAAAAATCTTCACAGAAATAAAGCCTCAGTGTATTTTTTCTGTGCTGTTATGCCAGTTTCAGTGGAATGCTAATTTCTTACTTTAAACAAAAATCCGTAACAGCCAATGTCTGAGCTGCACATCATCTGAATTGTAAGGCAAGGATCAGAATTACAGACTGCATCTTATTACAATGTACAAATAAAGATCTTTTGTACAATTTCAGCTGCTTTCATGTTTTAACTCATTTCGTAGGTAACCTCAATTAGAATGGAAACAATAGTAGAGAACAACATAATTCCATTAATTTATTCCCAACTACGAACAGTGGATATTGCACAGATACTCACAGCACTATCAAATTCTATGCTTGTAATCCCAGCGTTACTGCCAGAGAGGGAACCTTTGGGCTCACACCTATCTGCACAGAGAAAGATGAACAAAAAACTTGAGCAATGGATTAGAACGGAAGTGGACACGAAGTGACCCATAATATGAGGTTTTTTTAGCACCCCACCACACCCCAAAGCAAAAAGGTTTACCTCCCAAGACTTCCCAAAGCTTAACCCTCCGGTCCATGCCTCCTGTTGCTAGTAACCGGGAGCCAGGGCTGAACTGCACCGCATTCACCTCCCCATCATGTGCATCCTGAGGAGGGGAAGGAACAGAACAGCCACCCAAAAGAGAATTAGCACACATCCATAACCCACAGATCAGAAAGCTACACAACTTAAAGGTTACACAGAATCACAGCTGTGCATCTTTCAGAGGAAATAAAGCCACAGACTGAAACTCTACTGTGGCTGGTGGTGCACAGACAGCAAAAGTGATGATCCATATCTAAAGAAAAAACAAAGGCACATCAAAAAAAAACAGCAGCAAGGACTCAGCAGCAATAACAAACTACCTAAAGCCTTATACTGCTTCCTAAGCTTAGGCTCTTAAGTCACGCCAGAAAAAAAAAAAAAAAGGAAAGGACAGGACAAAAACAGTAACAGATGATGTGCTGTAGAAGGAAAGTAACTTTTCATTTCTCCATCCAGAGACAGCCATGGAACATGATCCAATCAGTTCATGCAACCATGGAACAATCAAGTCAGGCTTGAGTTAAGCAGGTCTGCTAGGAAACAGCACAGCTGATGCACTGCATTCACTGGGTGTGCTGGTGGTTCTGCAGTACAAGTGTGACAGCACCTGCTTGCAGAGGACTTGGGCTTAAGCTGTGCCTCCTCTCTGCAGAGGGAATGACCCCCCCAACACCCCTGCTTCTCACAGCTTAATGTTCTGAATTCTTGAACTTTTAAAACCTATGAGAATTTTAAGATTAATTCCTTTTTTATTCCTCTATTAATTTCACAGCTTTATACTACTTACCCACACTATTACCACCACAATCATAATTATTTTTTAAGTATTTTCAGTAACGGCTCTTTCAAAACCAGCTTTTCTGGAAACCTTTATTTTTATGGAACTTGTTGCTTGAATGTGGTCTGTCAGCTCATATTTAAGGCTAATCACACTTCAAATCTGATCTTTCTGCAAATGCAGAGCCATTCACAACAAAACTGGTGAAAGGCCTTGCCTAGAAGCTATGCCTGGGAATGATTCCTGAAGTGACTACCTTTTCCACCTCCTACTTGTCTCTCCAAAGGTGAGCCCAGTCTGCTCCCTGCATTTGTCAAACCTCTGCCACAGATCCCTTGCATTAATTCCTGGAATACTCTGACAGACCTAGACATTTCTTGACCCTCCATCTGGGCTCAAAATACTGGAGCTAAAACCTAACACCTCCTCACCTGATGCCCCCTATTCAAGCCAGCTCCAGCTGTCATTTCAGTCATGACCCTGTTCTCCCTTCAGATGACATTGCTACTCCCTCCATCCACAATTTCCACTACAGAATATGGTAACAGGGCAGGCAAGAATACACATGCTTCCCTGCTCCAGTGAGCCACACTGATACTCTGCATGAAGAAAACCAGTCATTTAATATCCATGAAAAATCCACATCCAGCTCTGGAATGCCTAAGAAAGCTCCAGAGGCATATTCAAACAAGCAGCTGCATTACAAGACAACTTCCTTTCAAGGACAAGACAATGCCCTGCACAAAAAGTTTGGCTTTGTGAGGCTAAAGAAGACATAAAGGAGGTCTCAGCTTGAAAACCTTTGATCATGCACAGCCAATGAGGACACCCCATCACCACGAGCTCCTCTTCACCAGGTTTGTTGGATTACATTTGGTGCCACAACTCCCTTTACTGTGGAGAACTGGTACTGAATTAATCCCAAACTGTCAGCAATCTCTTCCTCAATCACTGCTCTACTATAGCATGATAGAATAGGGACTGCTGGGAGCCAAAGGGTAATGGGGTGGAATTTCCCTGTGCCCTCAGAAAACTTCTTTGTCATCATCGACCTCAGTAAGACAGACATTGAGTACACTGGCTCTGAGAAACATGTGGGGTAAGAATTAAATGGAATGAATGCTTCTACCAAACCAAGAATTCCTTCCTGTTTGGCAGTGCTAACAGAAAGAGTCTCAGGATATCATTTCCCACATAGGGAATTAGCTTCCTCCAAAACCAGAACAAAGAATGGGAGAACAGAGAATTCCTTCTGTACTCACAAAGACACAAATGGCAGTAGTGGGCACTCTCACTTCTTTACTGGCACCTGGATGTGGCTCTGCATTATCCTGGGGTGCAGGGAATGAGGACAGAGAACGCCTCCTGAGATGAAACAAAGGAAAAACATTTTAAAATGAGAAATGAACACTATTTCTCTTGAATTCATCCTGATGTCTACCTGTCAATTAACTACTCTGTACAGAAATTTAAAAATGGGGGAAGGTGCTTTTAACATCTTTTTTTTCATCCCATCTTTCAAAAGTTACATTTGTCACGTAACACTATATTCACCTGTGGCTTTAGATATTTCACAGTTCGCCACATAAATTATTTGAACTGATTACTGACCTCATTTTGGAGCAGTGTTTTAATGTTTTCAGTAGGAAGAGAAACATGGGACTGGCTGCAGCTCCATTGTTATGTCTAGAAAGACTCAACACCATTTCAGCACTACATCCCAGGTAGCAAAATGCTCTGTTCCAAAGCTTGGGCTGCTCCATTTAAGCAAAGACATCCACCTACTGCACAGCTTAGCTTAGAAGGACTGGCTCCACTCTGGATACAAAGCACAGAACCCAACAACTTATTTTAATTAACCCTACTAAAGGAGCAAAGTGCAGTGGAAAGTAAGAGCAAACCCCATGTATTCTCTCCACAAAGAGGGCCTCATTGCCTCTCTCACTGCTGATGGTTTCTAACCAGGGTTATCAACTGCAGAATCTAATCAGCACAATGCAGCTGGGTTCCATGTTACTTCAATGGAATACAATCACATGCTGGACTAAGAGCGGATAATGTTTTCACCTGGCAGTATCAGAAGACTGATGTCCCAAAAGGGGAGACTCAGACAGACTGGAGGGAAAGGTCAGAGGTCAGCACACGGCAAGATGGAAGAAACAGGAAGTTGAGGAGAACAAAAAAGAAAAAAAAAAAGAAAGGCAGAAGCTAGTGGAAGGCTGAAAATACTTGTTTGCATTCCCTGCATCACCAAGATTTTGGTGTACATTGAAACCAGTAAACAAAACAAGGAGGTGAAAGTGTTCTAACCTACCCAAAGATATTACTGATAGAGTCCAGAAGGCCTCCAGCGGGCTGGGAGAGTCGCTTACTGAAGGAGGGGAGGACAGGTTTAAACCTTGTGAATAGCTTCTCCACATAAAGATCAATACAAACACATTTCATAGCAACATGTCTCCAGAAAGACTCCCTCCCCTCAGACCCAGCCCAGAGACATAGAACACCAAGGCAGACATCAGTGCAAAAGTCATCAGCAACTACAACTCAGAACACATTTTGTGGATGAAGTTTCTGTCAATGTCCCTCAACCTCACCCTGTGAATTGCTGGGTTTAGGTAGAACAGTCTGCCAAGTCTGAAATCTCAATCAAATTAATCCATGATCTCATGTAACAACCTCTTACTTTCCACTCACTGCTATTTTAGAGAAAGAACAAGATGCATGTAATCTAGGTGAAGATTATTTTCAGCATTTCAGATAAACCCAGCTATGTGCAAATAGCTATTGCTATTGTGATATCAATATTCACACTGATGTCTTGTAGAGTAATGGAGGCATAAAACAACAGGCATTGTAATAGCCACATTATTAACTATATAGTTCTTAAATATTTGTTTTAAAGATTAAACAAAGATTTTTCAGGCACTAGGGTAATTTAGTTAAAACAGCAAAGGAAAACCAGCACATCTAAAGCATGGCAACAGACAGTACAGCACATGAGTTTCCTATTGCTCTGGCAGAAGCACTAAACTGTGTTCCATCTAAAGGCAACTAGAAACCTAAGTTACATTCCCAACATTGTTCCAGCTCTACTGTGCCCCTTGTTCTTCCTCAGTGACATGCTACAGGAATCTCTTGGTCACAAACCTGGACGTCCTGCTGACAGCTCGCACTGGAGAGGTTTCCTCAGCTGTGTCAGAGGTTTCATCCGCAAGCACTTCAATATCATCATCCCTGCTGAAGTGAGAGAAAACACCTCCTTTTCAATCAGCCACTGACAGCATCAACTGACAAGATGGCACTGTTCCAGGGCCTGTCAGTGTCCATGCCCAGCACACCCTAGGTTTATGAGCTACAGCAACACACAGGTAGATCCAGATAACACACACTGATGCAACTGCCAGAGATGTAATTCAACACACAGTGTCTGAAAACAGATAGACAGCAACTAAATTTCAGTTTTTTCCCTTCCAGCTGCCAATTCCACTTCACTGACAGCAGGGCTGGATTTCCACATCCCCTTGTTTCTGTTTTCAGACCTCCTTTTCAGGTTCTCTTTACTACAGGAATCCTATTTCAGCCTGTAGCACTAACTACACACAGCACTGTAACAACCCACCACATCTGAGCAAGGCTTCACTACAGAGTGAATGATATTTGCCGGAGCAGTTACAAAACAACAAAAACATGAGTTACTGCAACACCAACTAGAGGTGATACCAGCATCTTTTTTGCTGTTTCAAAACAAGCAAGTGTTAAAGAAAGCACAAGAGGTTAACTGAATTTTCCTGCTTCACCTACACCAAAAACACCCTGATACTTTCTACACTGTTGTACTTCAGGTACAACATTAAGTGTGAGAGCTGTTTTTGCTCACTCCATTAAAGTGCTGGTAATCACAAGTGTGACAATAAATTAATCCAGCTAAATTACTCAACTAATGCTGAAGATTTCCCCCATTAGTCACCATGGGCCCTGACAGCCTAGTATTTCTTCCTTCAATGATGATTTTTCCTCTGCTGCTGATTTTACAGGACAAACTATTTTTAAACACACTTTACTAATGCCATTTGACTGAAGAGAAGTTTAAATTCAGCATTTAAATAATCAGTTTGTGCCATCAGATAACACTCAGCTGCAAAACCATTTAAAAGGACGAAACCAACTAATCTCTCATTTCAGAATATAGCTGCACGTTCGGCTAATTCTAAGATTTTGGAGGAGAGTATACATGAAAAGACTACAGAAAATATATTCGCTGATTGAATGTATCAGGCTGGTGTTTCAAGAAAATACTATCAAGTTCTGCCAATATTAATTTTTAAAAATCTGAAGTTTCTACTATTAAAACTATGTGTAGCAAAAGAACTTTCCAAGTTAACAATGTATTTTTAAGTAAATATAAGTAGCAGGGCACACCCCCTGAAATGGTGCAGTTTTCCCCTTCAGCAAGCAGCATATTTACACGACACAAACACTCTCAAACTATAAAATCATCCAGAAGAAATCAAAGCCATCTCTGAAGCAGAGTTTAAGTAGTGTACAGAAGCAATTACGCCATAGGGTGTCTCATACTCCCTTTCCACATGCCCTTCCTCCCTCTCCCAGCCTTTCGCACAGCCCCGCTTCCAGAGGGATGCACTGCTTCTGTCCTTTGCAAGGGCTTGCAGCACAGCACTTAATGTGACTGTGATGTGAACATAAAGAGAAAAGATCTCCAGAAAAAGCCTGCAGGCTGCTCTGGCACCACTCAGCAGGGCCCAGGAACAGAGCATCAGATGCAGCTGTTCTGGATTGGGCAAACACAAACACCCTGGCCAGCCCAGCTCAGAGCACCCGCAGCTCCCACTGCCCATTTCAGCCACCTGATCCCACACCACCCAGCGCCAAACACAGCAGGGCAAGAACAAGGGACTAGAGGGATTCCTCTTCAACTGACCAGGTACAGTACTCCACTGTTTTTCCCTCAGACAATAAATCCCTGCCAGTATGGAAGCCATGTATTTTCACCCAGGTTAATTCACTCAGTACCTGTTCCTACAGGAAACCCTTGAGCATGTTTGCAGTCTAACATTTCAAAATCCAGGCATCTCTAGAGTAATTGTTTCATTATTTCACTGTTTCATGAAAAACTGTCTTAAAGACCAAAGGCACATATCTCAGTATAAAAACATTTTTGTAACAACACCTATTGACCACATGAACCATTCCTGGGACTTTCAGTCCAAGCAACTATTTTCAGTCCTAAAAGAACTCCTTCTTCTGTAAGTTCAGGCAGGGAGAGTTACTGCACATTCCTGACTTTACACGAGAAGTGCAAACGCTCCTCCACATCACCCAATTTAGGGGTAACAAAGATACCATTTATCATGCTTCTGCATAAATCTGAGGCATAAACTGATGAAAGAGACTATAAATCAAGACTGCTTACGGTTCAACGGGCAAGGGTTCTTTGGCAGCTTCTGCCAGCTCCTTCTGCAGTCTGGCCTGGCGTCTCCTAAGAAAGAGAACCCAAGGTTATTAAAAAAGAAAAACAACAACATTTCCTTAATTTCATTCCAAAGATTTTGGACAGTTTTGATGGGCCCCATAAGAGTAAAAAAAAAAACAAAAAACATCAGTCCCCTGCTCTAATTTTATCCTGCTTTTCAAGATACTCTGAGCAGGAGAGGCAGTTTTCTTACTGTGAGTAGCAAAGGACAAGATCACTCAAGTGAGGCAATGAGGCAAAGTGAACCTACAGCCCTTTATGATCCATATGAATATGCATTAGCTTGGAGGGCAAGAACTTGCCAAAACAATGGTTATGTTAGTGAAGCTAATACAAAACTGCCAGCTACTGCAAGACTTGTAATATAGGTCAGTCTCCAGGTATCATTAGCTGGCAAGTAAGCTGAAACAATTCAGAAGAAAAAGCATTTTTTAAGGAAAAAAAGCCATACAAATTACTTTTGCACGAAGTTTTACATAGCTCAGTCTCATGGCAAATACTCATTCTAGAGGAATGCAAAAAACACTAGAGTTAGTCAAGTGAAAAAAGGATAAAACTAGGAGCAGTATAAGATGCAATATGAACAAGAGAAGTCCAAATCTAATACCAGCAAAACCCCACAGTTTCTATCTGTTTTATGATCTTCAGCACACATTTAAATGTTGCTGAAGAAACAAAAGAACACATTTTATTCATTTAAAAGGCAGGAATGTTTTCACAAAGTGTCAGTCTGTGTTGCTGGAAAAAGAAAGTTCTGGACTCTAACTGTGTTGTGCAAGAATACAGATCTCAAGAGGTCAAAACGAAATCTGGCTTTATCCTATACACTCGTAACTGAAAAACAAATCAGTTTTATCAAACAAAGGTCATGGATCTCACCTTGAATCCTTTTCATTTTCTGCATTCAAACGATTGGCTTCTTGTGCTTTCTCTGCCATCCAACGTGAGACCAGCTCCTGGTTGTCCTCAGTAGTTTTCCTTAGTTTCTCCTCCAAGGCATTGAAGGTGATCTGGAGAGCATCATATTCATCTTTCAGTGTCTGATTAGCTCGCTCAAGATCTTGCAGTTTGCTACGCAATTCCTGGCACTCTGTTTCCAGTTCAGAAATCTTTTGCAAATACTCTGCAATCCTGGAATGGTAACAAAACATACAAAACCATGAGAACCTCCTTTGGGACCTGTGCCATCTTCCATGTGCTGTTTGCACAATGCCTCACAAAGGCATTTTTAGCCCTGGGCTAAGACTCCTACAGAATATTATAACTCCAATAAAGAACTCCATCAGAAGTCTGATCACAGACAAAACAATCCTTACTCACTTGGCTTCATTCATCTGCATCTCTTTGTCCTTCTGCTGCATTTGGTTGTTCAAATCGATTACAGACTGAGCCAGCTGAGAAGAAGAGAAAATTTCATTACAAACTGCAGGGATGTCAGTGGATAACATACTGAGCAGCCTCCAGTGCAAGCACAGACTAATCTAGCATTAAAAGCATGGATCACAGTTTCAGGTCTTTTTTACCCCAGCTTTCTAGGCATATCTGCTACACAGGTCATTAAATCAGAGAATCCACTTTCAAAAATAAATTGTCAAGAAGCTGCTGTCCTTTGATGTCTCACTCTCTTCCCTCAAAAGTTTCATTATTAGTCAGATCAAACAGGATGTATATTAGGAAGAAATTTTAGTACTGGAAAAATCAATACAGAAATTAAAAATTGTGAAGTAAGTAAACAAATGAGTACTAACAATCAAGAAACAAATCATTCTGTTATGGCCAGGACAGCCATAACATTCAGAAGACACAGCTCTCACTGTGAACACAGGTGCCACCAAGAGTTTTCTCACAATGGAAGTTGCTGGTGGAGTGCCTGCAGAGCACAGGGAACAGAGATGCAGAGGCCAGTGCTGCCAAACTGCAGCTGCCAGCTCATACCTTACCCAGCAGCACAGCCTCGGCTGCCCAGGAAGAAGGAAGACTGATTTCTGGGAAGAGTGCCTGCCTGTGTAAGTGGTTTTAGGACACCAGGTTGGAAGCAAAGAAACTATTCTCAGTACCCTAACCACTTGGTGCACACCTCCTAGAGTAAACAGCCTCCTCTTTGGAAAGCTCAGAATTGCTGACACGGGAGCTTCTCCACACCTCTGGTGGGGTGTGATCAAAGGATAGCATTTTCCAGGCCATTCACACCTTTACCCTATGAAAGTGTGCAGTCTCATTCAGCTTTCAGACTCATTCAGTCCACTGCTGTGCTTTTAAAAACCCCCAAAACACAAATCTAAGATGCCTGGCCTTTCCTCTCCTCCAGGCCCAATTGTCATCATTACAGAACTCCTGGGCCCTGAACCAGCACTCCCTTTCCAGCCTAGCACCGTGGCTCTTTCAGTCTTGGCTGGTGCTTGTTTACTTGGCTGGTGCTGCAAAGTGAGACCAGTGAAACCACACACAGCCCCCTATGCCTCACTCACTCTAAGTCTTTCCAAGTTACTAGTAGTCATATACAGCTCTGTGGCCTAGATCAGTTCCTTCCTCCTCTAATACAACTAAGAATCTATTAATGAAGCAGAAAATTCAGCACTTAATAATCATTCTATGCTGACAATGTAAACTCTCATCTCTTGATGACAGTACTACAGACCAGCCTGTGTCTGGTTGGTTTTAATCATCAAAAATTGGGGAAGCTTAAAAAGGCTCTAGATGAAAGGAGGGAAAAATGGATGATTAATGAGCCTAGTAAAATCATGGTCAGGCTCCCAAAAGGTCTCATATGGACCGCAGAGAACGTAAGACTTTCCAACCTCGCCACGTTTCTTGTGCAGCTCAGTCAGCTCCTCTTGGTGCTTTATCTTCAGCTGGGCCAGTTCCTGCAGCTGAGCGTCGTTCCATGTGCTATCATGTCCTGGGCTGCAATTGGACAGAGAAGAAGAGGAGATGTCCCAAACTAGAATCCAGTTCTTTCTGTGCCTTTGCCAGGGTCCAGACATTGCCTCCCTTGGAAGCTCTGTACACCAGGGACACAGGTGATTCCTAACAAACCACACCACACAGTACTGGAAAATTACATCTCCTGAGCACTAGATTCACTTTTTGTACATTTCTAACCAAGGGAAGATAACTAGCCTTTGTTTAAATTTGCATGAAGATGACTGAGTCTTAGAAGTACACTCTCTAAATTCTGGGAAAATTACAAATATTTTACCACCCTGATTTATTCTGGAGGGAGCTGGCAGACCTTGAAGATGCAAGATGTCTGGAGAGGGTACAGAACCAAAAGTCAGGAAATGAAGGGAGCATTTCCAGGCCCTTGGGTCTACAGTCTCAGGTGTGACAAGTCCCTCCTCCATTGGCCTGACTACACTCTTTTTGTGTATAAGTTTTGAAGTGGTTACTAACTGTGTTTTTCAACACTATTACTGTGAGATAATCTTGAATTTTTACATTTCTATCACTGCCCCAAACAACTACAGAATGTAACATTTATCACTCGTGTCTCTGAAAGCACAGAGACAGGAACAGAGAAAACCAAGCTTTTTTAAAAGCATATACACACTCAGACTCTGAGCACGTTATCAGCTATACTTTGAATTACAGCTTCTTAAAAACGTCATAATTTTAACTGCAACACCGTTATATCAGACAAACAGAACAAGGTAATTGCATCCCTTTCTGCAGTCATTTTGTGTTGTAACAGTCCAGGGAGAACCAGATAATCCATCCAAATGTCTCACAGTCATATCAGTAACCTAATGCTCTTCTAAAAAAAAAAAAAAAAAAAAAACAACCAACCAACCCCTCACTGAATTAATGCTGCACTAACTGCATTTCCAAAAAATGTGTGCAAACAGACATGAAGACAAGCCCTGTGGTAATATCCAACACATGCTATAGCTCCAGCCACACATACCCCTACAGCCAGCACTACATACTACTCCTTGGCCTTGAAGGAAGTAAAAACACTTTTCTTCAGCTACCTAGGATTAGAAGAGTAATTCTGTTTCAAAAACCTGTCATATACTGAGCACAGTATCAGAGTTCAGCTGAGTATTTACTTTCAGATGCTGCTTCTGTGTCTTTCTTCTCATCCACATTAAGCCCAGCCTCATCTCTTAGGCATGGCATTCAGCCAGAACACAATTCCCATAAACTGAAATGGTTCAAGACAGCTGCAGCCATCAGAAAGCTTTTGAGAACTTTCACATGGGTGTTAACTCCAGCCTGCTGGAGTTCTGCCTGCAATTCCTGTAAGCCCAGCAGTTCTTCCTTCTCTGCTATATTGATTTGTTTTGTATCCCAGTTGGACATGCTCATACAGTTCCCTGCTGCAGAGGGGTTCTGGTTTCAGACAACATCAAAAAGAACCTCAACAGAGGAAGCAATTCTTACAGAAGTAGGAATTCTGTGCTCCTTGGCCCTGCCTTCTCTTCAGGTACACTGAGGGCAGAGCTGGCCAGCCCTCACCTGTGGAACAGACAGGCTTCCAAGGGATGCTTCTGGCACATGGGTCTGCTGTGCAAACACCAGCAGAACCAGCAGCACAACCCCTGCCTTCAGCACAGGTGCTACTCCCAAGTTAGGGAGGAAGCTTCCCAAGAAATCCTACTAAAAAGCAGGCACAAAACACCTCCCTTTTGGCATCTGGTGCTTACTTAGGACTGACACTTTGCAATCATGGTTTATCTCTGTCCTCCCCTTTCATGTGATGACACAAATTGAAAGAAACTAAGCCACGAAACCATCCTATACTCAACAGGAAGAGCAGAAAAACACTCTAAGTGTTACAAGGCAAACAGACCAGGAGCAGCAGCTCATTGTAGTCCACCTCTGTTCCATGAGCTTGTGATACATCAGCTTCCTTCCCAAAACTGGCCAGATCTTTCTGTGCTGCATATTCTAAACATACTTTAGCATGTAACTTTATCACAGGCTTAGACACAGCTGTAAGTTGTATTTAGTCCAACAGAATTTCAGTTTGTTGTGTGCCTAGTCACTGCAGGGATCTGGCAGCTGTTGGTGTGAGGCAGCAAACAGTGGTTTAGGTTACAAGGTGTACAACAAACAGCTGCTGACAAAAAAAGGAGTGTTACATACCTGATCTCATGTCTGCTCTGTATGTCATATTTTTCTGCTTGAAGTTTATCAGCCAGCACTGCATGAAGGTCTGACTTCTCCAGCAGCTTGTTATCTGCAGGAGCAAAAAGTGCACTTAAGACAACCAGAAAGCAAATCCAGATTCCCATCTTCTCCTGCCTAGATCCCTAGCTGTGATCTAGTCCCTTTAATTAGTCTGACACAGCCAAATGCTACGTGAACCTCCACCACATCCCTGTGCTCTCTCTCCTCTTTGATCTTAACAGGTTAAGGCACCATCCACCTACCAGCCCAGGAACTCCTCATTAATCCAGATGCTGTGTGGGACTGGCCTTATGAAAGCTTAATAGAGAAAGAGAGAGCAACTTCTCAGGTGCATGGCTATCTGCTAAAACAGAGCAAGTGCAAAGTGCAGAGTCCTTACAGCTCCTCAAAGCACAGCAACCAGGAGAACAGGCCTGGCAGAGGCCAAACCCAGCTCTGCCGTTGGTTTCTCCCACCGTGTGTGGGACCCCCCCTGCCACCCTGGCACAGCTGAGGCAGGAGAGGGGCAGGCAGGAAAACCCTAAACAGAGAGTGCTGGCCCCTGGATAGCTCCAAATTTCACAAAAGACCATGAGCAGGATCAATAGCACCATTGTTCTCGGTTCCACAAGCAACTGGGCGGGAATTGTGCAGACAATTCAGACATTCAATCACTGTCCAGAGCACACAGCGCTTCAGCCTCTCAGAGAACTGAAATAACGACGTATTTTCCTCGATAAAGCAGAAATTCCAGCTTTCTGTTATTACAGACTGTCCCAAACAATCCCGTGGAAACGGCTCGGCCGAGGCCCCTGGGGCCCTGTGCCACCACGGTTTTCCCACTTTTGAAGAAGAGGAGAAATCCCAGAATGATTCGGGCTGGAAAGGAGCACAGCGGGTCCCCAGGTCCCACCTCCCTGCTCAAGCAGGGTCACCCCATAGCACAGGGCACCGGACAGAATCCAGTTCTGGAGAACCTACAGAGAGGAAGACTCCACACCCTCCCCGCAGAGCAGAGTCTCCCTGCACATACTGATGGGCATCGGTGAGGGAGAAGAGAAGCGCTACTTCGGCCGCGCCCCCGCCGGGCCCCGCTTACACTGGGCGATGATCTCCTCGAAAGCCTGGCGCTGCAGCCGGTCCCGCCGCCGCAGCTCCTCCGCGATGTGCCGCTTCCAGGGGGGGAACCCGGCGGCGCGCAGCCCCGACGCCATCTCCGCGACAGGCCGGGGGGGAGCAGGCCGGGACGGGCGGAGCGAGCGGCGCTGGGGGGTCAGAGAGGCGGCGGGAGCGCCCTCAGAGCCGGGCCCGGGCCCGCGGCCGCGCCCCCACACCCGCCATGGCGCCGCGCTACGTCAGGGGCCCTCGTGTCTGTGCGGCGCGCCGCGACCGCGACAGAGGCTGCCCCGCCGCTGCCTGACGCCGTCCGTCCGCCTCCGGAGCCGCCGACCCCAGCACCGGTGTCCCCAGGCCGGAAAGCGCCGCGCGAGATCGCGCTGCAAACGCGCAGGCGGGGTCGGCCTCAGGCGGGAGAACAGGCACTTTCTGAGGAGAGGAGGTCCCGCGCCGCGCCATTTTGTGCCCTCCGGCAGGCGCCATCTTGAGAGTGGCCCTGCTGCCACGTTGAGCATGGCCCTGTGGCCATCTTGAGAGTGTCCTCGCCGCCATCTTGAGAGCGGCTTCACCGCCATCTTGGGCACCCCTGAGCCGCCATCTTGAGAGTGGCCAACCCGCCATGTGGCTGCTCCGGCCGCCCCGTAGCGCGCATGCGCACAGGCTGCCCGCTGTGGGGGCCGATGGCCGCGTCGTGGCCAGCGGCTCCTCTGGTCCCACCCACCTGCTGCAGCAGGGCCGTCCCGAGCACGGGCGTAGGATTGCATCGAGAGGACTCTGGAATATCCCCTGTGAGGACAATCCACGCCTTTCTGGACAATCTTTTCAGGGCTGGGGCACTGCCCTGGGAATAAGTTCTGGCTGCTGTGCAGGGGGAACTTCTTGGGATCAGTCCCTGCCCGTTCCTGTGCTGCCATTGCTGGGCCCCCCAGGGCAGAGCCTGGGCTCTGCTCGGAGCCCTCCCTGTCGACAGGGGCAGACAGGGATGAGGGCTTGAGCCTCTTGAGGCTGAACAGCCCTAGCTCAGCCTTCAGAGAGGGTGGTGGTGAAATGAAATGGAGCATGAGGCTTTTTAGGAAAAACTACCTAATTTGGAACACAGTAGAAGCTACTATGCAACCCTCCCTGCACTCCCACCTTCTGGCCAGCCTCGTGAACCACATGTTCTCTGGCAAATGTGAAAATCCATAACAACTCACTCCATTGCTCTACTTTCAACTGCTTAATGAGAGGAAAGATGTGTGCTTATGTGTTTACAAACAATTCAGTGGCTGAAGGAATGGGTATTAACGTCTTTGGAATAGGTCTTAATGTCTCTACTGACTTTGGGGGGCAGGTTCCTTACCAGGCCCAGACAGTCTGGGCTCCTGGAACAGACAACGGTCTGCACAAGGCTGAACTTTGGGGTAAAATGCCAGATTCACGTGGGAAACATGCGGAAGGCAGTTCGGGAAGGCTGTACCTTCCTAGCAGCTCAGCCAATGGGGAAAGGAAGAGGGACACACGGCCAGGAGTTCAGGATAAAAGGGAGGCTGCGCCCTCTGAAACCTTGAGAGAGAAAAGCCCGTGGGCATGTGGCCCAGTGCACTCTCTCCCTTTATTCAAATAAAGTTGAAGGACTCCTCTGTCTCCTTTTTGGACATAAAGCTCTGGCGCTTGTGGATTTTCCTGACATTAACTTCCTAAGTAATGTGTTAGGTAACCATATTATTGTAATTTAATTAGAAGCTGGGCAGAACTCATAAAGCTTTTTGTCTAGGACTGCCTAAATTGCTTTGTTTTTCTTTTGAGTAAGTAAATGAAGATGCAATTATGAAATTGTAACAGCGTGAAACAGATGATTCACTACAGTATTAGACTGGAGGAGAGTGTGCTGCTGGTTGAGTTAATAATAGTTCATGCTCTGTCTTACAAAGTACACAATGCACAAGGTTATGTGCATTTTCTGTAAAGCTGATTTGGCCAAGTGTAAGCACACAGCCTATTTCATTGTACTTATACATCACAAAATGAAATTAGTTGTTTAAAAATTTAAAATTACCTGCAACTGTGTGAGAAACAAGTTAATGGGAACTGGCTTTCAAAGGGTATTATAAGAATTGATATTAAATATTATAATGTTAATATGTTATAAAGTGGTTGATGTTGTTACAATGGCCTAATTGTGAGGATGGTTTTGTATGTTTTAATGTGGATTTATGAGTTTACATTGAACAGACTGTTGCTAGCCAAACCTTTGAGACACGACCTTAAAAGGAGTAAAACTTCATCCAGTGATAACCCTGATGACCACAGTGGCAAAACTACATCAGTGCCAAAAAGAGTGACATGGGGTGGGACTGTGTAAAATCAAAATGAATATGCATAAAGCTGATGCAACACCAGGGGTATAAAAGGCAGAGCTGCCATTTTGCGCAGGAGCCTCTGGCATTTGGCCACAGTCCCAGCACTGTCCCTTTTGTTTTGCAAATTTTTTAACTGTTCTCAATAAAACTTCTGTAACTCTTTGCCACTCAGGGTCTGGGTCGTTTATAACAACTGTAAGGTTAAATCCTAATTCTATAGCTATAGTTACTGAATGCCTGAAGGGCAGTGCTGAGAGAAATTCATCCTGTCAAATCTTCCTCTCTATGTCTTTATCCTTTGCAAAGAAAGAGGAAAGCAACTGAAGCATGAGGAAAAGGGAAAGGCAAAGATACAGAAATAAGGGATCAGACTCAATACCTCCTCTCCTGAGGCTTTTACCTTGGCTTTAATATATAATCAGCCCCGAAGTTCCTCACTGAGTTTGAACTGCCAACCCCCTGCTTTTTTTTAGCCCCTCCAAAAAAAATCCTTCAGCTCATTTTTGAGAGCAGGCTTTTCGTACTAAAACTGGGAGGGAAAATAATTGTCCCCTATTTCTTTCAGCAGGGCAGGAAAAAAGAATCGGTGTGAGTAGAAAAGACATGGGGAAAAAAAAGGTGTGTCCTCAAGCATTAGATAAATTAATTATATCAAACATTGCACGTTTTACTGTTTACAGCAGCTGCTAGAATGTTTCAAGGGAAGGACTTAAATTAATTGTCATCTGTATATATTTGAATTTATAAAAATCACACTACCTTACAGATGTCTACCTTTCTGTAATCTGTGATTTCTGTAGTGGGCAGGACATCCTGATTTTCCTTACAGTACCTGCTAACAATGCTTTTCCCACTCCAATACAATATTCTTAAATATATCTGAGGTTTCTGGAAGTCTTTCCAATAGCACATCCCTGCTCCATGTCATCATCTGTCATCCTGCTCTCCTTTCATATCCCCAAGAACTGTAAGAAGGCGTGACAAAACAGTTTGTTCTGGCTGAAAGTGGCTTCTTCACTTGAAGCACCTTTCTGCCACCAGCAGCATGAAAATCTGGCAATTTATTCAACACTTTAATTCAGAAGTAAAAATTTCAGACTACCAAATTAGCCTGCTTGTCAGAAAGCTCCTTCTGCAGTGAAGAAGCAAAAACTGTGCCTCCAATGAATTTGGCATTCCACATCCATAGAGAGAAAAGCAGGACTTCTAGTGGAGATGTGTCCAGCTTTAGCCAGCACATTTCAGGAAGAATTGAGAATGTCAAAATAGCCCATCAGGAATGACAAATGTGTATAGGAGATTTGATCCAGAAGAAAGACTTGGACAGTTGGAATTGTTTACCCTAACAAGGATAAGACATATGGGAAACATGACAGCACTATGTAAATATGCATGTCAGAAAATTAAGACAATGCCCTGATCTTCTTGTTCATATGGGACAGGATTACATCGAAAGAGCCTAAAGTTAACCCAAAAAATGGCCACTAGAGATGAGGAAGGGCTGGTAAAAGCTGGTGAAGCTCGAAACAGGCTGTTTGAGGCAGATGACAATCTCTGCTGCTGGAGGATAAGGCCACTTGAAAACATGGTGAAGGTTTTTGTAGTGTACTCTTTGCTGGTGTGGTGAATGGATTGCAGGGTCCCATCAGGGCCCCCTCTAGCCCAGTTCTGATTCTGAGCTGGCTGTGTTGTAAATGACACTCAGTGACAGAAAGGATCCTTGCTCTGAGGTGAGTGGAGCAGGTTCTGATGGGATGTTTCCCTGTAGCTTGGTGCTCAGATTCACTTACTTCCTTCACTGCTTCCTGACTGGGAACCAGAAATGCTAATTTTCCAGAAAGATACTGATCACCAGTGTTCTTCCCAAAATTATGCTCAAAACACCATTTTTGAATTCAGCTTTGTTTTGGATCTTCAGTTTACCTTTGAAAAGAGGGAACATGTCCCACACCTGCTCATTTTCTTTGTACTTCAAGTCATAATGTCAAGATGCAAATTACTGTGAAGTATGGAGTAGACACAAATTCTGTGTTAACTCTCCATCCTTTCTGTTGCAAAGGTCTCTTTTCATTTTCCAGTCTCTTTGCTACCTTTACTTTCTTCCCTTGACTGCCCTGTTTCTATGAGAGAGAGCTTTTACCCACCTCCCTTCTGCTGGGGTCCCTCTCCTTCCATAAAGTCTTTTCTGTAACCTTTCTGCATGTTGCTGGACACCTTCATCCATTTCCACCCATGCATTCTCTCTCGAGCTCAACATTTACTACCCTGTTCTGTGCCATCTTTATTAGTTATGATATCATCTAATACTTCATGATAAGAGAGACTAATTTGTTTTCTATGTAATCTAGACCAGACCTTGAAAAAACGCAGTAAAGTGTTAATAATGACTGTAATGTGTAGCAGATTACCATTCCTGGCAAAGAATAGTCTCAGTTAAATAGAACCACACAAGTATGGAACAGCTGAGTTTGGATGGGCCTCTGGAAATTCTCCAGTCCAAGCACCACATTCAGCAGACCCATGTCTGGTTTTTGTGATGGCTTCTCAATACTGGGGTTTGTAAAACAGTTCTGATCACAGTTTTGTGAGAGCTACAGAAGATTGTCAGTTAGTTTTGATCTAAAAGGGTACAATGAAGTATCCTTTAGTTTAGCTGACTTAGGAGCTAGAGCAAAGATTATCTGCAAATAAAATTAATGAAATTGAATAATGGTAACGAACTGAGAACAGAAGTTCAGGGAAATTTGGTGATGCATAATGAGATAATGCTTTGTGATGATGCATAATAAGATAATGCAGAAAAAAATATAGCAAATTACAGTAGGCCAAAAGAAATCTCGCTCTTCTGTCAACGTGGGATTCAACTCTGAAAGAATTTCTGAGAAATTTCAGTAGTTTAACACAAATGTAATCTTAAAATACTTCTTATTAGAAGCCTCATTTGAAACAACACCATGCACACACTGTAGAGTTAGAAAGATCTTTTTCATATTCATGTGAATAATAACTTGATGTTTGCTTACATATATATTTAGAAAGAACATCTCGTACCTCTGCAGCTAACACTTTCCTCCACATTGAAAGGAGTATTTGGATTATTCTGTAGCACTTGCATAACAAATCCTTCCATAGGCCTTCCAGGAATGCACTGGGGACTGCAGCAGCCCTTTGGTGGCAGGTGTGACCAGCATGTGAGACAGTGCCCGCTGGGCACAGAGAGCAGGCAAAGCCATTGACCCCATCACTAAATATTTCAGCCTCAACCACATGAGCACCACACAGATGCAGTTGATGTAGCTGATGATTGAGAGGCTTTGCAGCACCCTTCACTTACCCAAGCCCAGCCCACTGGCTGCACCTTTGATCTGTGTTATCAGCAAGGAACATCACAAATGACAGCAGGGAGAGAGTCTTGTTGGCAAATGTCCCACAGGGGAAAAGTGTCGCTTTCTCTCAGGAAGAGATTACAGAAATAAAAGAGAAATATGTGGGTATTGTCTATTTCCAATCCATCTGCTGATACTGGTTAGGAGGTCTCTGGGAACTGTCCTGCGTCACCTTGGTCAGTTAGTCCCAACACCCACAGTTTATTCACACATAAATATCTGAGCTTTCACAATGTTATAAAAATAAGGAGCTTGGTCTGAGGGTGAATCAGTTAATTTCTGGACAATACATCCTTTCAATCACATGGACTGTTACTGTATTATCACAAGGACAACAGAAAAATGTCATAAAATTTTAGCAAAACTTTCATTTTAAAAACAAGTAGGAGGATACTGACTAAATGGTTAGTTTTAAGCTGAACAGAAAAAGGGTGCTTGGTCCCAGTAGATTATAGGCTTAAGGAAACATCATTTCTAACATCAGAATTATCCCCTTGCTATTTTGGAGTAACTCACCTTAATTTGGTTTTCCTTCTGTTTTTCCTCTTCCTTGAGCCATTTCCTCTAAGACTATACCTTTATCAGGAAGAAAATGCGTCGCCCACAACATCTTAGGAAAAGGCTTAAAGGTGCCCTGTGGTGGTTGTACACTGAGAGAACAAGGAAACTGGTGTTAGGTGCAACAGGTGCAGGAAATGGGGGGGTTTAAAACTTACTCTGCAACATAACATCCTGTAGCTGGGAATTTCAAGCATTTTTGACAGCTGGATCTCCATAGAAATAAGTACAAAAAGACTCCAGCTATTTTAAGAACTTAAAATAAAGGCTGCCGGAAAGTTATGGATAGATAATACACCTGGGGGAAATCAGTACACTTTTGGACAATTCATATCCTTCAGTTTATGTCTTTTGCTCATACTGTCTGTACCAGCTTAACTGGACAACAGCAGTGAGGGTAGAGAAATGTGCCTAGTTTGCAAGAGGGAGTCAGGCTCAGAGATGTCAGAAAAAGCAGCAGCTTATATTCAGTTCTGCTTTCATGTGGTTCAAGACATGTGAACCAGTAGTGGCAGTAAAACCAGTGGATATCATCTTAGAGGCTTTGTGACAGAAATTAAAAATTAAATATAACAAACAGAAACACCAGACTTATGTGTTAAATCCAATTTTCTGATATTCACATCTGCCAAGCTCCCATAGCTGTTGTTACCACTTCTGCCATCCCAAGGCCCAGCCAGTCTGGCCACAGAGACAACTACTATGTAGTGTCTCACCACTTGTCCCACTTCTCCACTCCTTGTCTAAGCTGCTCACCTGAGAAGATTATCATGGAGAGAGGCTTCAGAAAGCTCTTTACAGAGCCTTCTTTTGCACATTGTCCACTTACACAAAGCTGGTGGCATTTGCCACCATTCCATCAGACTGTCTTTGGAATCCCAAGTGGGTAGGCAACCCATTTTTAGCATAGGAATAGGAAAGTTTGGTTTTTTTCTGCTGGAAATTTGGAAGAGAGCTGCTTTTCTTCCCCAGCAACATGCCTTTCTAAAGGACAGGCCAAATTATATACCTGGATGGATTAGCAAATTATATACCTGGATGCCTTAGCAAGTCCAGTGTTCTCAAAATCTGTTCATCTGCAAATGTGTGCATAATTTAAGCAGCATTCTCAATCAGGAGAAGGTTTACACAGGAAGCTATATTTGTTTTATATCCAGCTTTTAGTTTCTAAGTTTTGGGGAATATATTTTATTTTTTACAGTTTAGGGAGTCAGGGATAAAGCAAAAAAATATGAGCTTTTCTCACTGTTGAGAAGTTAAATTTTTTTACAGAAAGCTCATCTCATTTCCATCTCCAGACATAGAAGAACACTGCCCAGAATTAATGACAGCTGATCTAATTCTCTGTATTGGACAGAAAGCTCACCTGCTCCAGGGAGGTTTTATTCGGTGGCCACACAAGTTCTTCTGCAACCTGGAAAAGTGAAATGATTTTCAAGGCCAGCAAAATACCACGGCTACTGAATTATGGCAATTACACAGAGAGGGTTCTGCTGAATAAAGCAAGAGGAGTGTAAGCTCATGGTCTCTCTTGCTGATTTGTAGGTTGTAGAGCCAGCTGCTTCAGTAATGATGCCTTGAAACTCCAACCTGCATAGCAAAAAATCATCTCTTCTTGAAAGGTTTCTACCTACAGGTTGTCCTCTTTCACCCATTCTCACAAGCCTGTACTTGGTCTCTTCTCCTTCAGTAAAATTGCTGTACATTTTCTACACTCACATAATTAGTAACTGTACCTGCTAACAGGTCCTGTAGTTTTCAAAGCAGCTATATCCACAAAAGGTCTGTGCAGACAGACGGATGCATTCTCAGTTGTCCATGTCGTGCCTTCCCTGCTCTCCTTGGTGCCTTTGGTGTTTTCTCTGGGCAGGGACTACTGTCACTGAGCAAGCCAGTGTAACACCCACCTAAAGCTGAATCATGTGACAGGCAGTTCTGAATTTTCAATAAAGAATGACCAGAAAGGTGACTATTTTATTATTTTTGAAGTAATCAACATGGAAACAATAACAGTGATTAAGTCACAACAGGCTTAGTCTAATAGTAACCACAATATTAATACTTAACACGAATATAACAGAAATTACAAGTATGTTAACATTATTCAGTCTCAGTCAATGAGCAAAAGTGTACAGTAAGGTCAGCATTAGTCTATTAAGAATGCTCCAAAACCAGCTGGCCAGTGTCCTCCAAAGCAGAGTGCTTGCTGCCAGGCAGGCTGGGGTGCTGCTATCTGCCCCTGCAGGCAGTTTTACTTCTGGGCTCCCATGGGCCCTTCCTCTTCCCCTGTTTTTGCCTGTGGTTCTGGTGTTTCCCTCTGTTTGTTGGGCTATCAAAGCAGGGCCTGCTTAAAGGAAAAGGAGCTGCAGTGCCATGGGCTGGCCCTCACTTGCTGTGTCCCCTGGGTGGTGCAGGGATGCAGCCCCAAGCTCCAGGCAAGGCTGGCTCCACTGAGGGTGACCTGCATCAGTATCTGCTATTCAGACTTGTTCCCCACTCTCCCTGACCTCCTTGCTCCATGGATAGGACATGCTTTTGGAGCTGTACCGCTTTTAAGATGCTTTCTTTTACATATCACTCTTTAATAGGAATCCTGTAACACAAAATAGAAATCTTGCTTTTATAGGAAGGGTTTTTTTTCAATGCAACCTTTTCATCTCCTAGTCCTTGTACCGTACCGTCCTCTTTTCCAAAACATTTACTAATGCATGTACTTGGCCACCCACCTTTACATGGAAGTACCAAAGTGACACTGAAAAGAATAACTTGCATTTGGTATTGTGGTCCAGGCCCCTCTTGGTCTGAGCGACATAGGATAAGCTTCTCAGCTATAACATTTTCATAATCACAGGGAGGGCTGCACCCTCAAAAATAAAATTCCTCAGTCTTTTTTAGAACCAGACTAGAGGACATCAGTGTGAACAAAGCAGTAGTCTCCATCGTTCTTCCCATCAGAATTCCTCCTAGAGTACCACCAGCTGCTGTGTCGTGTTCACTGTAGAGACAAGAGAAGACATCAGCTTGTATATTGTCAATTGTACAAGTTTTGATGGAGATGGAAAAGAAAAAAATCCTACAAGCCTGCTCAAGAGGGCTTTTCCTCCCAAATGCACTTACTAAGGCCTCCCCTACTCCTTCTCATACAGCTCTTATGTTCTGTTGAAAAGAACCCAAAAAACAGCACAAAACTGAACCAAACCACAATGAACAAACCCACCAGCCCAGGAAAGTATATGTCTGATTATTTCTGTAGAGGGTTCAGTAATGGTTTTGAACACACTGTTCTAAATTGCTAAGTGTTTACCACTAACTACTAACTATTTTTCATCATCTTTTTATTACTTACAGCAAAGCAAATCCATTGCCCAATCCTACAGATTTGTGCTATCAGGCCAGGATCAGCCACTTTCAGGAACAGCACAGTATGCCCAAAACAAGACATAGCAACGTACTATTTGCCTTCCTCTTGTTACTACCAGGCTTAAACAGTCCAGAAGAAGGTAAAAATCCCTGCAAAGCTAAGGCCTCTCACATTCATATTTTCTGAAAAATCCCTTCACCCAGGATTTTTCTCCTGGGAAGCTGAGAAGCCTCAGAGAAAAAGGAAAACAATATTATTTCATTGCTTCTCCTGTTTTGCTGCTTTGCAATGTGGTTGGAGATTGTTTATCAACAGGTGATGGTTTCATTGGTTTCTGCTGTGAGTTGTTTTGACTCAATGGCAAATTGGGGCCAAGCTGTGTTGGACTCTGAAGAGAGAGTCACGAGTTTCATTATTATCTTTTTAGCCTTCTGTAAGTATCCTTTCTGTATTCTTTAGTATAGTTTAGTTTAGTATTCTTTAATATAATATAGTATCATAAAATAATAACTTAGCCTTCTGAGAACATGGAGTAAGATTCATCATTCCTTCCTGCCACGAGGGATCCCGCAAATACAATAAAGGCCATAGTTTCACAGCATGCCATCCTCTGCAGCAATACTGCTTTAGGATATTCCCTGGCACCCCTTGCTCTGCAAGCCCTGTAGGTTTGTGGGACAGCACTGAGCTTGGATAGGAACCATGGAGTGAGGACTTAGTGACTGAGCCAATACTACTGGAGTCACAGTGACATCTCCCACCCCACTTCATTCCCCCGAGTAACGCACCGGTGTAGTTGTCCTGCTGACTGGGCCCTCCTCCATCCGGTGCTTCCCAGAGTGCGGCAGCTCTGAACTGTCCCGATAGTCACGGCCCTTGGAGTTCTGCATGTCCAGCACTGCCCGGCTCTTGGAGGGCAGGGGTGGCTTGTTCTGCTGTCCCTGGATGCTCAGGCTGACTTCAGCCCTTGATGGCTTCATGAGTTTTTTGAGCGGTGCCGAGTTTTCCAATGGTGTTGTCATCTTTGGTTTGCCTTGGTTCTTTTCCCCTGTATTCTTTTCTTCCAGTTGGTAGGATGAAGTGTAGGACCGGAATCGCTGTGTGGGCACCAGGAAAGGTGGTGATGGCTGTTTGCCAAAGGTCTTGCTGCACTCAGGCTCCTGTGGCTTTGTGAGATGACAGCTCTGCTCAGGCAGTGGCGGCTGCTCTTTCCACAAGGCCTTGGGATATTCCTGCTCTTTCTTGGGGGCCACCTTGCCCTTGGAGCCCATGGAGCCATACAGTGGGTTCTCAAACATCTCTGGCCTTTGCTGCCCCTCCTCCTGCAGCACAGGCTCGGCTGTGGATTTCCCCATGTCAGGCAGCCTACAGTCATGCAAGTAGGGTAAAAAGGAGACTTGTGAAGAGCAGGCAAGAGAGTCACTGACTGATTTAGAGAGGACATGAATAGTAAATGAGTGTGAGCAAATTAAACTGACTGCCTGAAGAGGCAACAGGAAAACAATTAAATTCGGGGAGGGAGAACAAAAGTGTGTTTAACAGAGAGAACAGAAGTGTGTTTTACTTTGTTTAATCATTAGTAACGTGATAGAGAGCAGATATGCATAGCACTGTGTAAACTCCTTGCTAGGTTACAGTTCTGTCAGTGATGTTTGGCTTCTTTTTAAAGACAGATAAACTACCGAGCCAAACTGTGCCAGGTCCTTTGATGACTCTGCGACACACACAAATCTGAATTTGAATATTAATCTTCAGATCTCGCAGAGAAGATGGAAATGGTTGTCTAGAGGCTTAAAATAAGAGCTCACATCATACTGTGGCATTTTACAACTAGGTCAATCTCTTCTTGCTACCAGTGCAGCATGGTATTCCTAAGGAAGGGATAAATTTCCTTAATGCACCCAAATGCACAGTGTAAGAGTAATAGCTCTGCTGTAGGGTGAGACAATCCATGTGCATTCCCAGCAGAGCCCTTTGAGCTGCAGCTCAGCCTGGAATGACTGCACAGGTGTACAATGGGACCCAGCAGGTCCTATGGGTTTGAGTCACTAGATTTGATTTGGCTAGGCTTTCACCTGCAAAGTACTTAAAAAATCAGCCACAATATCACTGAGCAGAGTGGAGTAGAGGTGAGTGGCATATGTTCTTTGGGTGTCTTCGGATGAGTTCTGTTCCATGTGTCAAGCTCTTCTCTGGCAGTCAGCGCATGCTGGAGCAGAGAGCTGAGCCATGATGGAGCACTGCTGGGTACAGAACAGACCCCAGCAGTGCTGGCAGCTCTGACTACTGCGAGTTTTGACTTCCAGAGTGCCACACCCATTTACCAAGGAGCTCCAGCCCAGCTCAAAGAGCAGTTGTCTCTTGGCAGTGAAGAGGTCTGCAACAAGGACACAGATGGCATACATGCACTAGTGTGAAGTAGCCTCATCACCTCACTAAGCTGGGAAGGGATGGGATATTTTCAGTTGCCAGATGAAATTCTGCATCAAGGCTTGTCATAGAGGCAATACATGGAGTGTAGCTTCTGCAGCAGCTGGACATTTTTATCGTGTCAGTAGAAATTCAGTGAAAGTACTTCACATATAACACACGAAGGACCTCTCCTTCCTATCCAGGGGAAATTCTATGCCACACTCCCCCCTTTTATTCTTTGTTATTACAGTCAACTTTGTAAACTTCTCCTTCTCTTCTTTTGGTAGAGAATTAGACCTACATATATCAGGTTGAGACAATAGGCTGTTCAGTCAGGAAAAGACTCCAAGGAGTCTTCACTGCAGCCTTCCAGTGCCTAAAGGGGGCTTACACAAAGGAGGGAGGGTGCAGATAGTGACAGGACAAGGGGGAGGTTTTAAAATAGAAGAGGAGAGATTTAGGTTGGATGTTAGGAAGAAGGGTGCTGAGGCCCTGGCACAGAGAAGCTGTGCCATCCCTGGAAGCATCCAAGGCAGGTTGCATGGGGCTTGAAGCACTCTGGAATAGTGGAAGGTATCCCTACCCATGACAGGGGGTGAAATGAGATAAGCTTTAAGGTCCATTCCAATCTAAACCATTCTATGATTCTAAGATTCCATTATTTAATTGTAAGTTTAACTCATTATCTTTGGCTTTCCTTTCACAAAAGTCTGAGGAACTGCTACACTAGTTTTCTTTGAATATGTGATTCTGTACTTGTGACCTTCACTTATCTTTCTCATTCTAGAGATAAAATATGTAAAGAATATGCTGCACCTTGAACTCTCTAAACAGATAATGAAACAGTGACTGTGCAGAATGACAGGAGAGAGGAGCCCAGCCTCAGTGCAAAATTCAAACACTCACTGGTACTCTTGATTCCAATTACAAATGCTTCTGTTTGCTGTAGGCTGGAGGGATGGTTTTGGAGATAGAGGTGACAAGGAGGGTGATGTGGAGGATGAGTGACTCTGCCCCATTAGGGAGGTGTTCTCTTTGGACTGCTGCTCATAGTTCCAGAGGGAAGGTGGCTGCTCTGATGAAGATGTCTGCTTAAGCTGGCAGGTTGCAGAGGGCTGCTGAGAGAAGGAAGCCATGCCCAGGTAGTTGGGGTTGCTGATGTCTGTGGTGGTGGAGCTGCTCAAGAGAAGAAATATTGTTAGGGAGGCACATGCACAAATACATTTGGGGTTTTTTGTCTCCCTGCCAGCTTCAAAGGAGTTAGTACCCAATGACCGCTTAGATTCAATACCTGCCTTATTTTTTTTTTGTTCACTGTTGCTTCAGAATCAGGGAAAAAGTGGGAGTCCTGTTAGTGCCTCATTCCCCTTGGTCACTGGAGAGGAAGCAGCTGGGTCAAGACAACCTCCCCCACCCCCAAAATAGTTCCTGCAGCTGTAGCAGATGCTTCCCTTTCCAGGCTGCAGAGAGCATTCAGCTTCTGCAGCCACATATGAGAGCTGTCATATGTTTCTGGGCCCAGCCAGAAGCTACCCTCAAGGAAAAGCACCAGTGAAAAAAGGTGAAAGGACAGCCTTACTCAGGCTCAAGCTATGACTCTTGGAAAGGAAAAGCCAGGCAGTTTGAGCATAGCTTCCCACCCCAAGCTGTCAGAGGTAAGGTGGCAAGGTTACCGTAAAATATCCTCCTTTCCCGGGCTGTCTGGAGAAGAGACAGCACTCCCCCAGTAGCGAGCGATGGCTGCTGCCTCTCTGGCCATCAGATGAGTAGATTTTGACTTTCTGTTGGAAATATGAAGGCCTTTTTTTAAGAGGGTTCAGGGACCCATTCTGGCTAATGCATTCTCAGCTTTTGAACTTTTGGGCACAGGAGCATTGACCAGTCCTGACCACAGAGCCACAAAGCAGCTTCCCCGTGCTCAGCACACCTATTGATGCTTTTCCCACAGCAAGCCAAACTTTGCATTTATGGTGCCAACCATTTTCCTGGAACTGACTTACCCACTTGCCCTTTACCTGTTAGCTGGATCCCAGTCTTTGTTAGGCTCTAAATTGCTGATGTTTTTTGGTTTCTGACCAGTGATTTCATCACGTTCAATCTTGACAAAATCTGAAGGAAAGAAGGGGCACACATATCTCCAGAGTCTATCTGCTCAAGTTTTCTGTGTTCCCACGTTCAATAAAGTATCTTTTTGTCCATCAGAGTGATGGACAGTTTTAAACTGTTATTGCTGTTATGTTTTCAACTATCCACTAATACATGTCATGTCTTGTTGACAGAGGAAGAAACGTGTCTTGAAATACAAAGGTCATGACCCAAATAGACATATACAGTCATTCTACCATAGAGAATAATTGTAAATATAATGAATAATTGTAAATGGCTGTTTCTGTACTATGAGAACAACAGATAGCAAGGTGAAAAAAGCAAAGTTTGTGATCTTCTAGCTAAGAAAGTGCTCATTGAGAGCCTGACATACTCTTTGCTCCCCAGGATGACTGGAGCAGGGAGAGCTTGGCATGGAGTGTGCCATGTCACAAATGGAAGTAAGGGATCCCCTTTCAATAAAACCAGTGCAGGTAACAGACAGGGGGCTCTCTCAGTCTGCTGAATTTACTTGACTGATGAAAAACCCCACAGAATCCAATTGTTCTGTCTTCCTGAAAGAGTACAGGTATACTCCTGAGAGCTAACCATACTCACACCTCCTTGCACTCTGCGTCAAAAGCATTCTCTGTGACTACAGGCACTGTAGAAATAATTTTCAATTCCTTGACAGTTATCAGAAATCTTTTGAGGTGAGCATTCTCTAGTGTGAGCATTGCAGAGATGATGATGTTCCTTACCATACAGCTTCTCTCTCTGTTTTCCTTGTGACGTTTGTAACTTGATTTCACCTTGGAAGATCCCCGTTTTCTCTCCATGGTGTGTGAGCACAGTATGGATTGGAGCTAAGGATTCTGTTGCTTCTATTCGCAAGGCAATGCAGCCTTCCCCTAAAGGACAACAGGGAGACAATGAGGCTGGGACTGAGAAACAAAGCACTGAAATATTTTGTGTCATCTACTACCAATGCACTGACAGGTATGTAATTACTGGAGAGAATCTGCTTTGGATCACAGTAAGGAGCCTAATATCTCTGAGAAATTAGGGGCATTTATTTCACTTCATGTGTGTGTGAAGGATTTGAGCATCAAAGTTACCTGTGAGTAACCTCAGGGTTCTGAGCTTCCACTCCTGGTAAGGAAAAGAGGAGCCTATGGCTGCTATTGCTGTTAATGGGATTTAGGCAAAGAGCCTTCTGTGGACAAGGACTGCATTCTCTGGCTGGTGACAATCTGGCAGCCACAAGCACAGCCAAATACTTTTCTGTAGCCAGGAGGAATGCCTCAAGTAAGTGCAAGTGAAACAGGATTTGTATGTTCTGAATAAATGCATTTAAACATGCTGACTCCTGATTTACTTCCTGTAAAGGACTTTCTTTTTAAACCACTGCTCTTTCAGAGCTGGTAAAGCTCACACAGGTTGTTGCTTTGAGTTCATATTCCTTTAATCATAATTACTTCACAAAACATTGCCCACAGTGAATATATATTTCTGTATATGTTGAGTTCTAAAAAAAAAAAGAGAAAAAAAAGTCATGGTTTTGAATGGCATAATCACATCAGCAAAATTCTTCATAGATATGTAAGTACACTGACATATGAAAGTCCTTTCCTGCTTACAACATACTCTGTTTAGCCTAAGCCCATCCTGCATTCTTACAGTTCCTTTAAGTGTAAACAAGACCACAACAATATTCCTGAAAGTAGTATTTATGAAAGTAAAAGACCTAACGTTTCTTATGGGATGAAAGTGGAAGCTTCTCTTCCATACGAATATGGAGGTATTGTCCCAGTTTACCTTTGGAAGTGCCTCGACAAACTTTACCACAAGCTCCCCTTCATTTCCATCCTCATTTTCTCCTTCCTGGCTCTTTACAAAGCCTGCAAAGGGACAAGAAAGGAGTTTACCAGGAGAGAGACAGCAAGAACTGGGCTACAAATCCTCTTCACTATGTCTCCAAAAAGCCTACAATTATTTTCCTACTTGGACGCAAATTTTAAAAGTATTAAGAAGCTTAAATTCTGAGCTTTGGATGAATTTTTACACAGTAAATTTGCAAGTGGTTTTGCTAGAGCATTGTTAAATGGTTTCATTTTGCAGTTAAACTTGGCACTGAGGAGATCAGTGCATACATGGACCGGAGGATAGGAACATGACAGCTCTTCCTACGCCACTCAAGATAGCATACTTTTGAAATTCTAATTTAAGATTTGTAATACACTGTTTCCATAGAAATTTATGCAAATTTTGATACAGCCAAAAAATAATCTTTTATGGAACTGTCTTTGACACAGCGCTCTGACATGCGATAATGTGATGAAGCATCCACCAAAGGCTTGCTGTCCCACTTACAAGAGCAGTTCTGTGATGGGAGATTGCTTTAAAAAACCCACAGCAAGGGCACGTAGGCTCGTGTTACATAAACAGCTGAGACTCAGCCCCACAGCATGGGCACAGGCAGTGAAATCTGCGGTGCTGCGGGGTACACAGTCCCACTTACAAAGTCACATCACTAGCATTCATTTCCCTTTTAGCTGATCCTCTGACTTATTTTTTGTTAAACCAGGTTAATTCAATTATTTAAAATTATTTTTGCTAGGATAATGCAGATGCTTCATTTTGAAATCACCTGATCATTTGTAACAGGCACAAATAGAAATTTAATCAATCATGTCTTTACTATGTAGGCATTTTCTGTGTGATAAGCAAGATATATATGTTTCCCATCAAGAAAGGAATTACCAGACTGACAAACAAGGTGGAAAAACTGTTGGAAGGCTACATGTCTAAGCATGGATTACAGCTACCTTGGCTATGGGGTTTGGACTGTATTGCTGATAGTATAGAATGTCTTGCAAACTACAGCAAATCTTTAGGACATCCCTTTTTATGCATTGGAACGAACAATCCACATAGCTGTTTTTCAGATCAAAACAAGACAAAGGAAAACTAATCCAAACATGCAGAAAACTTTGACAGAAACAATAAAGATAGGCAAACCCATACTTTCTAAGCAGCTAGAATGAAACTCAATGTAGAACTTGGTCTGGGACTTGGTCTTCAGAGTAGCGTAGCAGTGCAGGAACTCTATCTCCCCTTGGGAATCTGTGTATTTGGAGTCTAGGAAAGAGGAAGAGAAAATAATGTCACTTTCAGCAGGAGATAGAGAGCATTTTTGAGTGGACTTTTAAAGAATCAGCTTTCTCTCAGCATATACAAAGCACTGCATTCTGTATCCAAGGTGAAGATGGCACACATGCACCCAACCTGACTGACCGTTCTTGGAAACAAACTGTGAGGTGACTCCCACTTCAAAGGTGGCAAACACAGGACTGTGGTCACTTGTCATGATGTCAGTGGTGCAGCCTGCCAGGAGAAAGGGAGGAAGATTACTGCCCTGCTCCAGGGAGATCACTGCCAAAGAAATATTATTCAGTAATTTTCCAGAAAATGTAACAGTCTCTCTGGTAACTGTCTCTAGTCAAAAGTGTTTCTCTACATAAACTCCTGTCAGTACACATGAATGTAACTCTTCTGTCAGAATACAGAAAGATTTGGTTAATGGATGCCATTTTACTGTACTGTTTTGTAGATGACTGTCAGTGTTACATTCCTCCTGTACAAAAAGCTCTTACAGGCTTCCTGGTTACCTCTGCAACATGCACAGCTAAGTATAGCTCTAATATGGCAGGAAATCACACAAGAATACACTGGTGTTGCTTCAGTGCTACAAAGTTTGCTCCTGGCCCAAAGTTAACAGTGGGTGACCAAGGCCTGATTGTATCTAAACACACACAGAGTTCCAGCAGACCCAGTCATTCCAGAGAGGCCTATTCAACCCCACGCCTCAGCATCATGGGCTCTGTGATCAGATCAGCCTGCCTTGTCCTTGAGAGACTTCCACAGCCATGCTCCCAATCTACACATAGGAAACCATGAACAGCATACTCAGATGCTCGGTCCTACAAATAGTTGATGACATTTCAGGAACTGGTATTTGAGTCTTTTATTAAACAGGTTTTGTGGGCTTTTTCTCTTCCCTGAACTGCACTTTAGTGATGCTTCTCAGCAGGAAAGGGAACAGGCTCTTGGTACCACACAGTTCTTCTGGAATATGATTTGATACAAGAGATGTGTTTGCAGCTCCAGTCTCTGCAGACCGGACTGTGCGCACAGGGTCTGTCCTGCTGGCATTCACTGTCAGGAGTTCCTGGTAGTGACTGCACAGGAAAAGTGGTGGTTGCTGTCAAGAAATAAGTGGTGTAAAATATCCTACAGCATGGTCTAAAGTTGGACAGCTGCAACTGTCCAGGTGGTGTTCTGCATATTAAAGAATAACAGAATTAATTCCCAGCTCTGTAAGGTTACAGGCAGAGAGATTTTGGCTCCCCTCCGCCTCTTTTAACATCAGGTCCCTCTATGCTGAGTGCCTGGCAGTGCAGGGAGATCCTACAGACTCTGTTCTGAATCATTTCCGTTTCAGACTGGTTGCCTTGCTATCAACAATCTGTTCTCCACCCACCATAGGACTGACACACAACGTGCACCATGGGGTAGGATTTCCAGAGCACTCGATCACACCAGGATGGCAAGTTGTACTTCATCTGCAAACCAAAAGAAAAGTAGTGTCAAGAAGAATGGAAAGGGCCAGTTCACAAAATAACAGGAAATTCATTCACCCAAGCACCATCTATTTGTGTCAAGTCTTTTTGTTTATATTGACTCCTTTCAAAACACAAGGACAGAAAACACAGAGACTGGTTTAGGTCACTTTCTTCTGCAGGAGTTGCTGTCACAGCTCTGCCACATACCTCTGAAGGGAAATCAGTTTCAACCTACCCCTGTAGCTTTTTGCTTGGTGTAAACATACTTCTCCCGGGTGCCTCTCTCAAAGCGGTAGGTTGGAGCAAAAGTAATCTCCTCTTCCTCTAAAACAGGGAAAGAGCTTGGTTACAGCTTGGCCATTGGGAACCCTCACCTGGGCAAGAGAGCCACTGCCCTGTACACCTGCCCCATGTTGGGGCTGGCAGAGAAAGCCTGTGGATGTAGCAGAAGAACCTGCCAACCAGTTCAGGATCTCACCGAACTGCAGGAACACCTTTTGGTCTCTTCTCTCGAGGAGAAGCTGGTCGAAAGCCAGCAGCTCCGGATACTGCTGCTGCCTGATCTTCTGGATAATATTCTCTGCTTCCTGCCAACAGGGAAACAGCAGAACTGCAGATGATGCAAAAGCTCTTCTAAATACTCCCTTCACAGGTTAACTGGTAAGTGCTCCTGAACTGTTTGACAGAGCTGTAGCCCCTGCCACTTCCCTGTCCTTCCCATCACTGAAAAGCCCCAGCCTTTTTTGTGTGGCTGAACATGTGTCTATCAAAACAGGTACTGAAATGCCCCACACATCCCCCACACAAGAACACACAATCACAACGACATGCACATTGACACCAAGCTTGGTGTTTTCTCCCACATACTGAAACCTATCCAGTATTTATGAGGGCTTGCCTGTTCCTGAGGGCCTCTTTGAGCCATTCCAAGCTCACCAACCAGAGCAGAAAGGCAATATCTGGAGCCATTCAGGGACAGATGCTTATTCACAGTGGGAAGGAAAATCGGGAGGTTTGGGGAACCAAGGCTGCCTGAAGCAGCAAAGTGTGCCAGATGGCATTCCTGGGTCCATTAATCCTTGGAGAGGGCAAAGGGGATTTCCTTACTCTCCTTCAACTGGGGCCACACTCACGCCCTGGGGGTCCCTTCTGTCACCCCTCTTTTTGTCATGTTGCCCTAGATTGGAAGAAGAGAGCTCTCCTATAGCAACAGAGCGTGCTGTCCCTGCAGAGCCTCCTGCAGCATCCCGCACCGTCGGGGGCTGTTCCACACGGTAGTTCAAGTCTCCCAGCCAGAAAAGATGAGTAAAGCGATGAGTGATGTTAAATGGACTCAGTTTCTTATCTCCCAGTGTCAGGAAGCGCAGGATGTTCGTGTAGTTCTGGTTGCGTCTGTCAAGACAAGAAAACATCTGCCTGACATCCTAAATTGCCATGCAATTTCCAAATGCCTGGGATGGCAGAGGCTGAAGCTTTACCAGGAAGGAGCTGCTACAGAGGAATAGATCAGAAACTCAGAACCTGCCACCCCAGCAGACAGGCCCAGGGAGTGTGCTCCTGAAGCCAGTTCTGCTGCCTTCTGGAGCTATGCTTTTCTGAGCTACATGTCCTAGAAACCTAGCATTAGATTGTTTCTTTCAGGTTTCAGCAGCAAACACATAACTAGATTTTGGCAGCTCTTCCAGGAACCCTTCTGAGGAACCCTTCAATAGAAGTTTTTCTACTTCATCAGTAGCAAAGATCCTGTACAGAAATCTCACACCATCTGTTTCCTGCACTGGGAAAGATGGCAAGGCCAAACTCTTAATTTCAAGTCCTCTTCACTTTCAAAACCACTCCTTCCAACTGCTCCAGCTCCTCCCAGTGTGGGCACTGATTTCCCAGTGGTGTCAGGATCTTTGCCTTCCAGTCCTGTGCTGACCAGAACCTGCTTAATCCACAAACACTTATTTCACAGCTGGGTATAGAGATTAGTCACAGTGGGGATATTCCTGTTCTACACCTCCCTGCTGGTATTCCTGAAGGATCTTTCTCAGCTGTGCCCTAGGGCTCACAGTGAGAAGGAAGATGGTCCCCTTCAGCACATTATTTTGGGATGGGAAAAGCCTTCCCACATTTCTCCAATACATTGTAGATTATGGAACTGGTTTCCTCATGCAGTGGGTTTTCATGACAGATCATGCAAGTGTTGTGTGAGACTTTTACAGTTGGCTCTGAAACAATTTTGCCATTCATTTCCCCTGCACCCATGTGCTATGGCCACATAGCAGAAGTCCCTTGTTTAAATGCCCTCTCAGGAGACATTAAACAATTTTTTTTATGGTCAGGAAACCATGTTTGTGCCTGTCTGGTGGGCTCTCTTTCCAAACATGGCCCAGAGAATTTCACCCTGGCTCAACAGTCATTTTTGAGAGGGGAGGATGTATCTTACCTGTGTTTCTTTTCACTTCCTGAAGTCAAATGGCTGTTAACAAACCCAAAGGAGGTTCCATTAAACATGAATGACACCCCCACTGCTCCTTTATTACCTGGCAAAAGGGAATCCAAAAATGACAAAAAGTTAATCCACCTCCAGGCTGAGTCTAGCAAAGATAATAAAGCACCTAGCACATATGAAGTAAAGTGGAGGATGAAGAAGAGAAATTGTCTTAACACAGAAAAAATTAGTGCATACAGCACAGATTGTGGGAACAAATTTTTAAGGGTGCTAAAAAAATTAGTTGAAGGGAGAGAAGTGCAACTTCCTTGTGCAACCCAAGAAAGAGCAATCCAATAGTGTTTGCTGGGAATATAAATATTTATATATATGTGTGTGTGTATGTTAAGTATACACACAAATAGATTTCCTCTCTTACAGGGTAAAATATAACCAGTGCTAGTGGGATATAACTTTAGGAGGGTCACATAAATGTTGCCCAAGGAGTGTTGTAGCAGAAGAGCTGTTCCCTTTGGGCTGAGCAGATTGCAGCTGCCTGGGCAGGCCCTGCCCGTGCCTCACCCAGCGTGTTTGCGATGCCTGTCTTCACATTGGCTGTGCAGATGTGGCTGATGCGGTTCTCATGTTCTGGCTTGGCCAGGACAACGATCCTGATGTTCCAGAGGGTATGGATGGCTATCTGCAGGAATGGGAAGGGTAGAGGTTATATTTCTGCAACTACTTGCCAAGCTGCACTGTGGCTGCAGCCTTCCTGACTCCTTCAATAGAACTTTTGCAGAAATTTTCTTCCTGTGCTCAGGATGTGTCTTCAGTCATTTTAATCAATACTGGAACCTTGCTATATTCTAGTCCTTTTTTCTAGTTAATCTTTGGATTATTCTTACTTGCACAAAATAGTTTCCCAATCATCTGGAGTTAGCTTTCCAGATATGCTCAGATTTGTTTCTTGACATCACTGAAACCCAGGAATGTCCAAAGCTGGTCTTAATAAGGTTCAAGTTTCTCTTCTTTGCCTGTGTAGTGTTAAACCCTACTTTGAAAGTGCAATAGCCTAGGACGAGATCTAGGCTACAACTGGCTCAGGAAGTTTAACGGTTTCCTTCTTTTTGAAAGTCAAAATAACACCAGCACTCGACTTGAGTGCTCAGCATCTCTCCTTGCTCCTAGGCTGGCAGGGTCCCTGCTATGGCCGGGGTGGGGGGGGGTGGGGGAGTGGGGAGTTGTCACTGTCCATAGCAACAGGTCCATCTAGCCAGCTCCAGGGGGGGCATCTTGTGGAGCCCACAGACATATTCAGTTCATTCTCCTTCACCCAAATGCAATGAAAATAAAGTGAGAGATAGGGAGGAGGTACAGGCAAAATCCCACTTATTTCCATCTCTTTTATTTGTACAACATGTACACCCTCATCCCCTGAGTTCCATTCAATAACTGGAATAACCCCTCACCACTTTGAAGCTGATACTGGTGATCTCCTGCAGAGATTGCCTTAGGGTCTCCAGCCATTCCTTCTCCCCCTGGGGATCCTCCTGGGTGCCAATCACATAGATGTCGTGAGGGATGTAGTCAGCAGTGTCGTCACGGGTCCTCCCCTGCCCCTTGGAGAGGAACCAGGAGGTGATCTTCTTTGGGGCTGGGGCTGCACCTTTTATTAAGACATCAAACACCAGAGGAAGTCAGAGCATGTCCTGTCAAAACCAGGATGAAGATAACACATGGGGACACAAATGATGGGCTTCATATCTCATATCACTTTTGTATCAGCTAGGGCACACAATTCTAAGACAACAATGATGTTACCCCCACCTGAGTCACTGAGAAAGAAGTGATTCTGCTTTGACCACCTTCCTCTTGTTGATCAGTTTTCCAAGGTGAAGGCTAGCCAGGAGAACAGGGAGCTGTACTCTTCCTGGCCTACCACTGCCTTGACCTTATTCCTTAAGGATGGCCAAACACAGACAGCTCAGCCCACAGCAGCTGAACCAGGCTGCTGTCCCAAAAGGGAGAAAAATAACCTATATTCCACTGTCCTCAACCACACTTTGTCCCCTTCTCTAAGTACCACAGACACTCAGCTGTCTTCCCAGGCTGGACATGAACCGTCCCTAGTCAAATGAGAGCAGCTGATGTGCAGTTTTGTCACAGCATATGTAGCAGTTGAGACGGCCACAATACACAGAGCATCGCCATACAATTTCAGAAATCTTCAACCCTTACAGAATAACAACATATCACTTCAGAAGGCTGCAAGTGTCTGTCCTTCTTGTTCTTTAGCCCAACCTTTTATACCCCTCACGTTGATGCACTGCCCCTGTGTGCCCTCTGCTCCCTTGGTGGTCGGTCAGTGCACCTGGGCACTCCATGGCTCATTGCTTTCAATGCTGTTCACCTGCATTTCACAGCTGTGCCCACTGGGGATGAGGCTCAGCTACAGCCCCACTCCCAATTACCACAAACTGTGTGCCTACAGAGTTTGTGGAATTGCTGCTGTCCTTTCTGCAAGGTGGACGATGATGTGCACTGCTGCACCAACTTGGTGCCAGCTACAATTCCCTGTCACTTGAGCAATCCTTCAGAACCTCACACAGAGAGTCTGGAGCTCATCGTGCCAACTCCAGCTGAGCACACCTTTAGGCACTGTCTGAAGGAGTGCCCATGGCAGAAGGGAGCCCATACCCATATTCCAGGTGCCAATGAAGATGGTAATCATATCAGGCTCTGGTTGCTCCGAGTGTTTATTCTTCATCTGCTGCAAAAGCTGGCAGAACCCTTCTCTCTTCTAGACAGGGAAGAGCAGAGAAAATTAATGAGATACTTAACTCCTCTGACATGACCTCTTGAAAAACCTGCTGAACCAGGAAATTCCCAGCACACTTGAAGGGCAGATTAGCTCTGCACTATCCTGAAACCTTCCAAGAGGCTGCCTTTCCTGTGGTGCTTTTTTAGGCATTTAGCTTCTCCATTGATTTAACAAATGCTGAGATGATCAGGAAAAAATATTTTCTTCTGTCTTTGTCTATAAGAACCTTTTCACAGTGGCCATCTGGACTCCTTGCTTCTCTTCAGTGCTTGCTCTATCCTCCTTCCTCAGTGCTATCACTGAGGAAGGAGGATAGAGCAAGCACTGAAGAGAAGCAAGGAGTCCAGTATCTCCCTTTAGACAGTATACATGCTCATTTTCTGCATGTTTCCAGAACAAAGGAGAAATTTATTTTTTGCAAAGGCAGCTACTGTCTTTCAACAGTTCCGCTTTCTACCAAGGAATGCCCCATGTTCCACTCCCACCCATGGTTTCCTGCTCCAGGCTGGCAGGAAACCATGCACATACCTTGGAATCAGAAAAAATATATTCCTTCCGCTGTGTTTTTTCTTTTTCTGTTTCCAGAACAATAACCAGCTTGTTTGGAACCTTCTGGGACTTGATGAGCTGCAAGACTGAATACAGGCTGGGTATTACAAGCTGCAGTCACTGAAATAAGGGTCCCACCAAAATGAACACAACTCTGCTCAAAGGCTTGGGATTTCCATAGTCTTTTCTGTCTGTGCAGTTTGCCTTGCAGACCTGCATTTTAAAGTTGCTTAATCCTCTTCCCAATAGGAACAGATTTGGACTCCAAGTGAAGAGGACCCTCAAGACTCTTCTGCTTGGAGCTGTTTTCCATCCCAAGCCTGGCAATGTGAAATGAAGCCTTAACTTTGTGCAGGCAATCCCCCTGTATCCTGAGCCAGCCTACATGTGTTCCTTCCCCATCTGTGAAAGAGGATGTAGAACCTCATTTGGTGGTAAAGGTGATTCCTCCCATCTAAAATAGCAGCTAATTATTATGAACACCAGGTGGAGAAAGCCATGCATGAAAGCTCATCTTTTCAATTACTGCCAGCAACAGGTTGATTTTCTAGCAGGAAAGAGCCCAAGGGTATAATCTACTCTCTCACAAATGTCTTTGCCTCAACTTCAGTGAGCTGCCTGTTCAGCAAGAATACAGAAAAAAAGGAAGTTGTTTGAATCAGGCAATCACAGACAAAACTGGTGTTGCTCATGATGAGAGATGTCGATTTACGTACAAAAAAATCAAGGGAAACTCACTGAAAAATGTTACTGAAACTGAATGTCTGGCTTTTTACCGTCAAAAATCATCACAGAAGTCAGCATGTTTCTGCAGAATGTTGGGGTTTTTTTCAAGTGGCATTGCTTTTCAGAACAAAAGTGGTTCTATTGCAACCAGCTCTGTGGGGAATCTTCTACCAAAACCTGCTCCCTCGCAGTGCTGATTCCAGTGTCTTCATTTAGACCTGGAGATTGGGTCTAAAACAATCTGTGAAAGCTGATTATCTCAGTACAGAGATATCTGTGTCTTGCTGACTGGTGCTCATGCATCACCCAGGACCTAGCAGAATTCCCAGAGCCTAGTTCAGCATTTGTGACATTAAGCTGACATCTTACTTTTCTTGTGGGTATAAAACTTGTCTTCTGGACCATCCTTAGATCTCTTGATAATCAGCTTTCCCATTTCCACATCCACTTTGAGTTGCATTTTTGAGAAAATTCCTAGGGAGTCAGTTTTCACCTAGTGGAATACAGAGAGGTTTTCCATGAGGGACCTTCTACACTTCAGTGACATGTATTACAAATGCAGCACTTCCCTCAATTCCTGGGCACATATCATTATGCCAGTCTCACCAGACATCTCTTAGGCATTTTCATGATGCCAAACAGCACCCAGGAATAGTTGTTATCTCTGTGGCAGCACAGCTAACTTCCCAGGAGCTGAGATACTGACATAAATCTGTATTATTGTCCTTCCACCTTATGATCTGCATTGTTAAAGGAATAAATTTACCTCAAAAGTGACTGGGGGGATAAGAGAGCGCCGGTGTGTTGAATCAGGACCTTCAATCAACAGTGTTTTCACCTGTAAAATAATTATGTGCAATTTATTGCATTTGGTGATTCTGTACTACACTGAGAGTAATGAAATCAGAACAAAGAAATCTTACTGTGACAGAGCACTGCACTGAGGATGAACATGAAACAAACTAGAGGCAAAGGAGGACAAGAAGATGATATAAAATAGCTTGAAAACTCTACCTTTTCTTCAATAGAAGACAGCAAAGAAATCAGCTGATTGAGTTTCAATACAATATTGACTGGACTTGCTTCACCAAGCATCTGAAACAACAGCACAGGAACAAAAAGAGAGAGGGTGATGGGTGATTACCAAGCCCACAGAGCACAGCCTGGAGTGCAAGCCCAGGGACACCCCACACAGGCCAAGGAGCAGCTCTTGTACCTTTGCCACTCTGATCTGCAGTGGGCACCACAAGAGCATGGAATATGCAGAAGTGTGGGAGGCTGGAAGGATAAATCTGCAAATGTGTTCCATAGGGTCGAGGCAGCTGGTCATGCATGGGAGTCAGTTTGCTGCTGGGAGCAAGCTCACATGACCAAGCCTGGGGCTCAGCATACAAAAGTCCTAGACTTTTGGTTTTCTGTCAGGGAGAGGAAAGTCATGGGGACTTAAGTGGGCTTGGGAAAATGAAGGACAGTGAAACATCCTGGAGTGAGGTTTATGGAAAAAGAAATGCATAGTGCCAGCCCACATTCTGAGGGAGGATGGGGAGGTAGGAGTCCTCAGGCAGTTGGTGGCACTTTCCTCTAGGACAGGAAGGGGGAGCAGGTGGAGAGGGCTATGGGATAAGTGACACTGTGAGATAGAACTCACTGTGTGCCCTCTGCACTGCAGCAGAATGAGGCTAAAGAGAATAGAAGTGGCGTGTACCCACCTGCACCCCACTGGCCATGGCTGCACACCAGAGCCATCCCTGCCCCCACTGACAGCCATCCACACACCTGTCCTGCTCTTCCCACCTCCCAGCCCCCTTACCTGGGAGCGCTGGTGGGCACCGGGATGCAGCTGCTGCTCAAACACCTTCTGGATGGACTCCAGAGATGGGAGAGTCCTTGAGGCCTCACTGGGAACACAGACATGGCACAGGTCTAAGGCTGTGGCTGGCTCCCTGGCTGTGTTCACACTTGGACAAAGCCACACAGACGAGATGACAGGCACACGTTCACATTGGGCACATGTCCACACGGGGCCTGCCCTCGCCATGTGCCCCCTGAGTTGTGGCATGCATGATGGCAGCAAATCCCAGCTGCCTGGTGACATGGTCAAGAGGGCAGTGTGAGTCACACAGCTGACTTTGCCTTGCAAACCTGGAACATGGCCATACTGGCTGCTCCTTGGGTTTTGCTTTGGAGGTTCTAACTTCCTAAATCTCCCCAGAAAGGTATCCTAGTCTGAGCAAAACCTGAAGATATGGTGTACAAGCAGCTATGGCTAACTATGCCAACTCGTAGATCCAAGTGCACTCAAATGCCTCAGAGCCCAGCACAGTCTGGTGCCTCTGAGTGCTCTGTGGGAGCAGCTCGGTTCTGTACAGGGCCTGTGCAGCTGCTGAGGCTGCTGAGGACAGTGCTGGGGACTCCGTATGAAGAGGAAACTAATTCACATATTTCATCTCACATGACAAAGAGCGGCCAGGCACAGCAAGGGGGTAGAAGAAGCAGCCCTTGATCCCCTGAGCAGAACCTTTACATGTAACAATGCCATTCCTCCAGTGCTTCCCAATGAGATTCCACAGGATGCTCATTTGTTGAAACTCTGCTGTGTGAATTTGGCACAGAAGCTGCATGCTGATAATGACAATACTGATCCTGGCAAGAGCAGCCAGGGAGCACAGGTCAAAAGGAAGGTGATGGTGGTGAGCAGCACTAGGATGCTTGCACTGTGTCTAGTCAACTGTGGATATTAATGATTTCCCTTACTTTCCTAAGTCTGAATAGAGTGGATTTTATTCCATCTTTGTTAGGGAAAGTGCTCCAAAGCAAAAGCATGCCTGCCTGAAGATATTTCTCTAGATGTTGAACCAAGGATGACTAATTGCCCAAATTAAACATTCATGTTTGACATTTCAGTCTAAAAGACTTGCTGTGGGACACACAGGAGTACAAGGCACATGCAGGAATCTGGTTCTGCTAATTTTATTCCTCCAATGCCACTATTCAGCTCTGGATTACCTAGGGCCAGTGTCAGTGCAAACAGTTCTGGCCCCAAACCCAAAAGTCCCATTGATTTCTGCAGCCATGGAGTCAGACCCCAGGAGGCTGCAAGCAGTTGCAGGAACACTGGGGGAAGTTTAGTTTGAGAAGATTGAAAAGATATTTACTGTGATGTGCAGGCCATCTCTTGAAAACATAGCAGCAGCTGCTTGAAGCAACTCAGGAGTGATTTCTCATGGGAAAACTGCCCTCTGTTTACAGTGCAACATGTAGGCTGTGTGTGAGGAGGAGGAGGAGCAGCTCCTGTGGGCGTTCAAGCCCACTAAAACCACAGGGTGGTTTTAATTACATTTGTAACTTCTTTTGTTTTCTTCTCTTGACAGTATAAATACCTTTAGTGATCTTCACTGAAGTGTCAGAAACCTGTGTGTCCACATGCTGTTGCACAAGTGCTGGCATCACAAGTGCTTGAAAAACTGCCTTAAAAACTCTGTGTGCAAATTATCTGTTGAGGGAGAATAAACAAGAATATGCAGAGCAGCAACTGATGACCAAATGATGGCTTCAGACAGTAGCAGATTGAATAGACCACTGTTGATGTTTTTCACTGGAAGTTGAAAAAATCCCCTTGCATGGGTAGTCCCAGCTCTCTCTGAGTCAGCTTTCCAATGGCTGAAGGATTCCCCTGGCCAAGGAAACTCTTGTATGGCAACTTCTTTAGAATGGAAAGCCTCACAAAGGTACCCATCAGCCTTACAGGTCTTGGTTTTGTTTGTATATTTCCAGTGTAAGATCTGCCAGAGGGAGTGGCCTCTCCCCGGAGTGGATGTTCCTGGTCCCCCAGGCTCTAATAAGGAGATGTGCCATGGCTGTCCTGACCCCTTGGCCGCTGCCAGTCCTAAAAGGTAGTGGTAGCAGTAGCAGCAGAGTTAAAACCAGCTTTCCCAGTCTCTGACGAACACTGAGGTCCAGGCCTTGCTAAATTAATCAGGGACAATGGGTGAGGGAAGAGCTGACAAGCTTTGCACTCTGGTCTGCTGCGCTTGAGCTTCTTGGCCAGATGTGCATCCTGCCCATGGCCAATACCTGAACTGCCAAAGGCACAGACTGTTCACAAACAGTTCCTCTCCCAGCCCCACTGCTCACTATAAGCTCTTTCCTTCTCCTGAGCACGGAGCAGCTCCAGTACTGTCCCCTCTTCTTTGCTGACCTTGGCAGTCACCACTCACCCACAGCCTGGGGTCACAGCACGTGGCTGAGGAGCAAAGGGCACTGGATGCTCCTTTCTCACAGTGACTGCAGCGTGTCTGAGCCTGACCCTGAGAGATGGCACCGCTGAGCTCTGCGAGGTGAGGGGAAGCCAGAACAAAGATCATAAAACCCTCACACTCACAGCACGCCTGTGTGGCTCCTCAGCAGCTGGGCCAGCCCAGCCACAACGAGTCTGTGTGCACACTCATAACCCTCAGTGCTGCCTGGAAATTCAGAGGAGCTTCAGCTCCACTGCAAGAGATCTGCTGTGCTGATTAACAACTCTGTGGTTTTTGTTTTGTTTTTTAACCTATTCTCAAATAGTGTGAAAATAATGGAACTGAACATTAAAAGAAGACACCAAGAAGCAGCCTAGGAATAACCTGTACTTTCAGCTGGAATTCCCTGCACAGCTGAAGGAAGCTCAGGGAAATAAAACCTAAATTTAGGGAATGCCACTGACAAAATCTGAGTTCAGAGGTCACATAGGGGAAGTGAAAGGAATGAAAGGGATTTGTCTTTACAGACAAACTGTGAGTCTGCTGATAAAGGCAGATACTGAGAGATGAAGGAAGCAATAGGAGGAACCAGGAATTCCATAGGAATTCCACTGATTGACACAAGGAAAAGAAAAGGGGGGGTAGATATTAGAAGGGGGCGTGTATTAAGCAATTCAGGAAGTCTGTACTTCTTAAGTACCTCAGCCAATGGGGAAAGAGAGAGGGAAATGCAGCCGGGAAATTAGGATAAAAAGGAGGCTGCATCCTCTAACAATTTGAGAGACCCTAGGGGAATGGTCCATGGCCTCTCCCTTTATTCAAATAAAGTAATAGGACTCCTCTGTCTCCTTTTTCGACATAAACCTCTGGTGTTTGTGGATTAATTTCCTTGACTGAAGTAGTCTTAAACCCTAGACAACCTCAGAGATTAAGTGTAAAACAGTAGGACACCCAAGCATCTGATTATTGGCCAGCTGAAGATAAGCAAGCAGTTTGGTTGGATGGTAGGGATCCACGAGACAATGTGAATAGAGGGGGAGAGGCTCCTCAATGAGACCTGAAGGAGACACAGCCTGTAAATTTGGACTGTCATGTCAAAATTCAGAAGGCAGCTCCAACAAACCAAAATAATGCCGGTATGGGGAGAAAATATGGGGTAGAACAGCGTGAGGACATATATTTCCATAGCTGTGTGAAGTCACCAGAGGGACAGAAGACAAGTCCTTGTCCTTTGCTGGGTTTGTGGTACAGTGTCCTGTCTTGAGGATGGTTTTTATCGCATATCCTTTTTTTGTTTTGTCTGGGGTGGTCGCAGCCCTCCCCCTAAAGTGTTTTTGCTACACTTTGTTTGCCACCCCGGGTGCGCTGCCTCTGCCGTTCCAGCCGCGGCCCGCGGTTCCCGCCGCCGCCATTTCCCCATCCCGAGGGCACCGGCCCGGCTGCCCCTGCGGGGGTGCGAGGGAAGCCCCTTTGCCCTCTCTGCCGCCCTCACCACGGGCAGAGCGGGGCCGAGCCCGCGCCACAGCGCCCCCTGCAGGCGCGGGGGAATCATCGCCCCGCCCTGCCCGGCCGGGAGCCAGCAGCGCCCCTGCTGGCTGTGACCGGAACTGCACCCAAGGGGAAAGCGCAGCCCAGGGACGGCTGGGACTGAGTCTCTGCTTTTGTTTGCTGTTGCTGCTGTTGTTGTCCTTAGCTTGTCTTGTTTTATATATATATGTATATAAGAATATGTAAGAATATATATATATTCTAGTAAAGAACTGTTATTCCTTTTCTCGTATCTTTGCCTGAGAGCTCTTTAATTTCAAAGTTAAATAACTTGGAGGAAAGGGGATCATATTTTCCATTCTAAGGAAGGTTCCTGCCTTCCTTGGCAGGCACCTGTTTTTCAAACCAAGACATGTCCCTACATTCAGCAGGCTTCCACCTGCTTTAGGATGCCACTTTGCAATGTCCAGTCACCATAAATACTACAGAAAATCCAGAAATGTTAAAGATGTCCTGGCAGTTGAGGGAATTGTAGCCTTGCTGGATCTCCTTTCTTTCATTTCTCCACATGCATTTATGAGGAATAGGGTTGTGAAACCCAGATAAACTTAAGCAGAATAAGAAGTTGGAAATGAGAGAAACCAAACATGATTACAACAGCAGCACCAGAGGTATTTTAGTAACACAAGCCTCTCACTTGTGATTTCATTTGATTTGAGCTTCCACTGTTCAGGTTTATTCTTAGCTGGCCACCTGGGTCTCCCGTCCCATGCGTGTAGAGAAGCAAAATGCTCAGGCAGGATGCAGAAGGGCAGCTCTTGGAGCAATCTGCCCTCAGTCCTCACAGGGCTTGTCTGTGGGCAGCTGGCTTCTAGGAGAAGAGGATCAGGCCAGCAGCACAACCAGCCTCACCTCTGCATACACCAGAGAGAAGGGTATGGCAAGCCATGGAGAGAAGTGTGGAAATATGTGCCCCCTGCTACAGAGTGCTCCAAGAGCTCTGCACAAGTTTGGGCTGGTCCCTTTGCTTACAATCAGCAAGGGGGAAATAACATCCTTCCACCAGAGAAGGAGGGAGCTCTGCCATGCTCTAGCACCCTCTCAGAGTTTTTCTATTTGTGACATGGAAGGTCTCCAAACATGAAAGGTAAAATTTGGAGAGGCAAGAATCTAGGCTTGTTCCTTTTTTCATTTCAGCTGGCCTTCACCAACATCAGTGGAATCACTCCAAGTTCACAGTGCATTAGTGGGAAGGAAAATCAGTGTTTAAAATCTAGTTATACACTAATTTGTGCTTGTTTCCATAAATGGCTTGTGCTTGACAATCCTGTGGGTGTCATTTATGCATTACCAAATTATGCAGTTAATCAGTTAGTACATGTTTTTTTGTTTCATTCTAAACAAAGCATAAAATATAATACTCTGCTCTCTGAAACCCCCTAGAAGAAAACTTGATTGTCAGAGCTGTCTCTTCTATATAGATTTCATATCTTTGGATCAGAATCACAGGTCATGGCATCTAAATATACTGGTTTTGAGGGCAAAGCAATTTCCTATGCCAGAAATGAGGGTTCTCAATGCATGCACATGGAACCTTTGTTAGACTACAGTGTTATGGCATTACATTCTGAAAACCAGCTTCTAGTTACCTGAAGAGTCCTTTGCAAAGAGCTGTAAGTAATTTCTTCAGTTGAGGAAGATTGTTTGAGCCAGTCTGCACCATCTCAAAGTCACTGATGATGTGAACTCGCAGGTAATCCTGGATGAGTTTAAGATGCTCGTCAGAGACACTGTGAAGTAAACAGACAGGTCAAAAGCCAGCTCTTCTCTGTACTCTCAAATATCAAACAGCTTTCTTATTTTTCTCAAATTCCCACTGTTTAGGCACATGGCTAATAAACCAAGTTCTCTCAGCTATTACTCATCCTTTATATTAGAAAACTATACCTCAGTGGAGAAAGTGTATGGCTGATTTTAATAATTCAGAAATGTATTTTTTCTAGAGAACATCTGGACTGTAAACAGCAGTCAATGCACTGTTGATCTGATTCTGTTCTTTATTTGGTAGTACAAATGAGGAGTAATCTTGTTGAATCAAACAGATCCTCAGCTGTTCCAAGCACAGAGGCCCAGCAAGCACAGAACTGGGCTGAAGGCTGGTTCAGCAGCCCTGTCACTTGTCCTTCTTTACCTGCTTGTGTCCTGGTACTGCAGTCGCTGGAGTAATGTCTCAGAAAGGGACAGTTTATTCACGTCTGCTGCCCGTGAGTTTTCGGGGAGAGAAGAGACCTCCTTTGTCTCACTGCTCGGCAGTGCCATGAGGATGTTGCGTGGGGGCAGGACAGGAGGTGTGGGTACCAGATCTAGCAAGAAGGAAAGGAAAGGCACAGTCATTCCAGCACAGAAATTGGAACTCTTGTCCCTCACCCCAGGCAGGGCAGAGCCCACCCTGCAGGTGCAGTCTTTGCAGAAGCCATCTCTTCCAACAGGTCTGTGGAGGGATGTCAGAGCTGGGAAGCTCAGGGCTCAGCACTGGCCCAGCTGTGTTTCCAGGGATGGCAGTGGTGTGAGAGCAGCAGGATGAAGGATCAGGCTTGAACCTCACGTGCAGGCAGCACATGCCTCTGCCTCTGTCTCTGCCTGCAGTGAACCCCAGCCAGTTTTGACTCTCCCATTTGCACAGCAGCTGTGAAGGTTAATTTGTTAAGTTGAATATAATGCTTAGAGAACATAGCATGTGTACCTCACCCATGTCATTCCCCTTATCATGGGGATCTGCTGCTGAGGCAGAATGGATGGAGGGACATGATGGAAGGAGTACCAGAAACTCCTAATGGAAAAAGTGAATGGCAAAATAAGCAGAGATGGAGAAAAGAGGCCCCATGACCCAGTGCATAGGGGCTGAATATCCTGCCTTGTCTTGTGGACATTGAGTTGGAAGGAAAAAGGATTTTCCTGCTGCTCATCATATCTCACTCTCCTGGGAGAAGAGTGGGTTCATCTCTACTGATCCCAACCATGGTTACCTTTCTTTTCATACCAATTGCTCCAACAGCTTGTTATATATGTTGTATTGTAGCAGGTTGAGTTGTGAGGTTTTGTTTGGTTATTTCCTAATGGTGGAATTTGCATTACAAAAATACCCCTAGGACTGACCCACTGCTTCTGGGCCACTGCTGTGATTCAGAGCCACCACAGCACTGAGCCATGGGTGGTTAATCTGCAGGGTGCTCATCTTCCACCTCTGTAGTTTCACATCTCAGATGATAAGACATCTGTACGCCCTACATGGCTCCACCATGATAGCACAAAGTGCCTTAACAAAACTAAATTCTGTACATGGACAGCCCAGACCCAGTACTAATCTCTCTTCATCTGAAGGCTCTTAGTCTTGGATACAACTTCATTCCCTGCTGCTTGCCTCTCTCTGTGTTATTTTTGCTGTAGTTCCCTCCCCAGCCCTGGGAGCTGGAGACTCAGTACAACTGGCCAAAAGCCAGGAACATCTTTCCTGAGCAGATTTGCAAAATTTTGTTCTATTTCTTCCAGAAAATTGCATACCAAAATCTTCCAGCTCCTATTAGATATACAGTGGATTCCATCAAAGGGTTACACAGACTCTGGGTTGCACAGGCACATGAGTCTGTCCTAGTTCACAGGGCCTGTCTGTCTGTCCCAGGGATTGTATCCTTCAGACAAGTTTGATTGCAGTGCTTATCATTTCCAGACAGACATTACACAGGACAGGAAGGATGGCTCTGTGGACATGACCTTCCTCTAGGAGAACTATGACATACCCAAGGGGTGATCCAGGAAAAATCTAAGAAATTATCTGAGACCAGTGAGTGCCAGGAACCCACAGTGGCATTGATATAAAATAGTTGGGATGATGCCAATCACACCTCTTCATCTGTACATGGAGTTAGACTGTCTGCCACTGCCAGAGCCATGCCCTCTGCTTTGGACTGTCAAAAATCCTCTAGAGAAGAGCAGCTGAGGGGCTTCAGATGCCCCTCAGCAGCTGCAGGTGCATGGCACAGCAGAGAAATGTGCTTCAAGCCCCGAGGGAGCATGTCTGTTTTGAGACAGGCCCTACAGATGCAAGACAAGGACAGGATGCAGAGGCTTGGGAAATGGCTGGACATAAAAAGTTGGAGTCCAGATAAGGACACCAGATTAACTACCCCCTCACCAGATGCAGTATACTTTCACAGAGGGTCTCAGTGTATTCCCTCAGTGAGCTAAACTGATGTTCCAGGTGCTGTACCACAGAAGACAGGAGGGCTCACTGCAGCAGGCCTTGCCAGCTCAGGCCTCTCTATGCTCTGCTCTGTTTCATGGCACAACATGTTCTAATCTCCTGCCTGCACTGCTTATCAAGAGGTATGAGTCAAGGGTCTGCATCACCAAGTCACATCATGGGTTTCTTACCAGTGTCCTCCTCCAGTTCATCAGCAGCCTCCTCCTCTTCCCGCGGCACTGGATATTTGAGGTGCCATACCAGACCCATGTTCTCCTTCTTGTAATACTCTATCAGTTCCTCCAGGTTCTGAAAATACCTCACAGGAACACCCTCTGATGCCTGAAACAAAACACAGAGGCAGTCATGGCATGGGATTTCCTACCACACAAACATTGCTCCTTGCAGAAGGAAAAACAAAGCCATAGAGAGAGGAAAAAGCCACTGCTGCTGCCCAGAAGAGAACTTGCCCTGGTCTTGCTGTCCATGTGACCACAGGCTCTATGCAGAACAAGCAAACACATAAGCTCACACATTCCAGCCAGAGTCAGGATAGATACCAACCTCAAAGACTCACTGAAGCCAAATGGAAGAGTTCTCTCACTGGGTTCAGGGTGATTGGCTTCACAGCAAAGGAAGATTTTAAAAACAAATAATTCTCCCAGATTAATCTTTGTATTCTCTCTTTTACTGAGCACAAAGCCCCTAGACTGTGTTACATTTTGTGGCATCCAGGAAGATTTTTCTGTGAAATTGCAAGGTAAACATGGCTAAATCCAGACGTTAGCATCCCTTCCAGGATTCAAAGGCTCAGAACTGGGTTCAAATGAAACAAGGTGCCTCACACACAGAAATGCTGGGATGGAGGTTTAGAGAGTGGCAAGGACTGCAAACACACATGGCATGACACTGTGTGTGCCAGCTGAATTCTGTGACCAAACCTGTCTCAAGCACACCCTGGCCATTAATCTCAGCAAATGGTTACTCACAGAGGCCAAACACAGGGATAAGGTTTTAGAGGTGTTCAGAGCCAAAGTTTCAGGGTAATTATATCCACACATTGGCATAGTGACTCTGCCAGCAGGAACAGCTGCTATCCCTGCAGCTCTGCCCCCTTGCTTCATCCACAGACCGTACCAAAGACAGACACGGTCTCTCATGGCTCAGTACAGACCTGACTAAGGGAAAGGACTCTGCATCACCTTCCAAACTGCGCTGAAGTACCATCCAATACCAAGGCTACAGCAACACACAACCAAAGCTCTTATCCCTCTCCTTGGGGCACCCTCCTCCTGGCAGGGTGCTCCTTCTGGACAAAAGGTTTTCCCACAGAAACCAAACCAAGAAGGCCCTGTCTATATCTGCCATAAAAGACCAAGAAGTGGGGGCAGAATGGTAGAGAGCAGTTGTTTTCCATCCCCACAAGGCTGTTGTTCTTGACTTAAAAGATCAACATTGGGAATTCACAACTGGGCAATCCAAAGGAAGACCTGATCACCCCAATGGCAGGTTTGACTGGCACTGTTTTGCATGCATAAAACTAGATTTTGCATAGGAAACATGGTTAATTAGTAAGGAATTAAAGCTGTGACTCTAATTTGACATAATGTGTTACACAGACATTCTGCCTCTGACTAACAGGCAGGGTATTTAAATTCATTTTGGGATTGCAATGATTGCTGGTAAAAAGTAACACATACAGAGTTTCAATACATGTTTGAACAAGCTTATTTACTTGTCATTCGTTTTTGTTCGATTTCTTATTCTCTGTGAACTTTTTTGTTTGAAAGGCGAATGTAGAAAATCCAAGAAATTTAACAGGCAAGATGTGAGCAAAAACCACAGCAGAACACAGGAAAATGTCTTCAGAGACTCGTAGCACCAACAAGATTTCTTTTTAACTTTTCCTAAATAATAAAGTCTCAGGCTAGAAATTAGGACAGTGTTTTCAATAGTGAACTGCAAGTCATCAGTGCCCTCAGGCCTGCCATTAAAAATACCTTTCATTTTTAGCTACACCTGAATGTCTTTAAAGGCTCAGCAAAGCACATTTTCACAACAGACATGGGTGATGTTTCTGAGAGCTCTGCCTGTAAAGCCTCCTTTTCTGACTTGCACATAACTGCATTTAACAAGATTTATTATTCTCATACGCTGGAAAATGCCATGTTCAGCATGAAGGCAATGCTTGGGCAAACACTGGATTATATTTTTGTGAGGCCCAAGATGTTAAAACAAATCATCGGTTAAAACGTCTCATGATCCTACCCAGTATAGGTCAAATCTTGCTCTTCTAGAGCAGCACAGACTCTGCACATTCAGAATGACTTCTCATTTACGCCAATTACTGCAAATAGCATCTGGATCCTCCCAGACTCTTCTGCTTCTTGGTGCCAAGTGTGAACGTTGGGAATCAGGGAAAACCATCGAGAAAGAACAGTTCTAATCCATCGTATGAAAGGATCCTGAAGTCACAGTGCTGCACTGGAACAGACCTGGAATAGTTCAACCAGTCTTCCATGCTTTTCTATTCATCTTTCAAGCAGTACCTTCTTCTCTGAAATCCCCATTTTTGTGATTACTCATTGTCCAGCACCCCCCCAGCAGCCCAGAGGGCACTGTTAGCAGCTCTGGTGGCGGGTGGCAGCACACTCAGTCTCTGTGACCTGCCCACGGCAGTGTTACCCACACTTCACCCTCTGGATTACCCTGCCTGGGCAGCCTTCTGCCCACCTGCAGCCCCCACAGACAGGCTGAAGCTCAGGAGGAACAAGGCTTAGGGTGGCTTCTTTTACCCTAAGCTACTCCAAAGGGCACCTGAGAAAAGGCATCAGCCCCATCAGAGCACACACAGAGACCCTAAAACACAACAAGGACAAACAGGGTCAGGGTTTGCCATGTGCATCCCTGTAGGAGAAAAGCTTTGCTGTTGGTGTTCTCTCACCTCTGCAATCACTGCAGTCTACTCCTCTCCTCCTCTTTCCAAACTCCTCCTTCACTTTCCTTTGCTACTTCACCACCTGCCTGCTTCCCCGATCTCCCCTGACTGTGCCTGAAGGCCCCTGTCCTGTTACTGCACAGCATCCCTGCCACCCTCAGTGCCCAAACACTGTCTTCTCAGCCTTGTTCTGCCCCTCAGCTCCTGCTCTCCTAGGGTGCCTGCAGAAGGACAGACAGCCATAAACAGCACTTTTAAGGCCAAACGGAGTCTTGATAGAAGTGGTAGGAAAGGCTGAATTAGCACTTTTTGCTGCCAAGGATAGTTCAGCCTCTGAAACCATCCTGGTCTCTGTAGTAAGCAGAAGAAGGAGCATTTTGCAACAGGCCTCCTTCCTCTAACTCAATGCATGGTCCAAAACCTGTGTTTCAGCCCAAATTCCCTGGCATGGCCATCAGCCCTAGCTCTCGTGCAGCCTGGCTGGGTGCACACATGAGCAGAGAGGCCCTGCTGTTACACACCTCTTCTACTCTGTTGACTTGGCCCACTGCACCCAGTCACCTTTCTTGATGAAGCTCCCCTTCTGAACCCTTGAGGATAAGTGGAATTTGCCATGTCAAGAAGCTGGGCTTTGTATGCATCTGAATCCAGATGCTCATTCCCAAAGAGAAGCAGCCTCCATTCTAGCAGTGCCAGCTCCTCTGACAGCCCACCTTCCCCAAGTCCAGTGAGGAGAAAAAGGACCAACTCCCCATGGCACACAGTAAAATAAAGGACAGAATTTCATCTTTTAAGACATAATTCAGCAAAGAACTGAACATGTGGCCCGAGCAGCTGCACAGAGATAGGTGAGAGCTGAAATAAGAAAATGGGGAAGTGGCAGGGTCAGGAGCTCCAATCAGCCATGGCCAAGTACAGAAGGAAGGGTGGGCAGCCTGAAACCTGCACAGCACACACTCATGGATGTTCGAGGATCCTTCCCCACACCACAAAAGGCAGTGGCACCACCTTGCTACACATCAGCTCAGCTGTCATGAAAGTCTGAAAGCAAAATCATTTGATTATTCTCATTCATTTACTTTTGTATTATAATTATTATTTGCAAGGACCTTAACAGAGGAAGTGTACGGGAAGGGCTGCACCCCTCCAACAGACAGGCATGCCCAGCTGCCCTCTCTGCCTTTTGCCTGCACTGTGAAACAAGCTCCTCCCAGTTCAAACACCCCCCAACCAGCCCCACTCCCCACAAGAGAGCAGGGCACCCTGCTTTGTGCTGCCTCCTTCTGCACAGAGGCACAGCAAACACTGTACCTTGTTTGAAATGGGAGAGAGAACAGTAAAAGCAAGATTTTGTTGCACTGCCTTCTCCCCTTGGGGAGGGGATGAGAGCAAAGCCTACATGACGGACAACAGTCATGTCTGGCACACAAGTGCAAGGTACTCAGATACTACCTGTGCTGCATGAGCCGCTCCAAATCTAACAGCTCATTATTTTGCTCCCAGCCACAGAGCAAGAGGACCATGACCGAGGCTGTGGTGTGATTCCAGCCAGCACTGCCTGGGACTGCAGAGATTATGCCTGAGCAGCATCAGTTGAACATGCAAAGTCTGGCTCAGTAATGTTGCTGTGAGTGCACAGGTTGCTGGATGACCCCCCTGAGGGCTGGTCTCTGCCAGCAAGCGAGGAAAGCAGCCCAAATCTGGGACATCTACTAGGACATCTGCTTTCTTCCCACTTGAACTTGTGGCAAAGGTTTATAGGTGGGGAAGGAAAAGTAGTGGTGGATAATGAAGTATGGGTATTGAGTCAGGTTGTAGATGGTTGCAGAGCACATTACCAAAAACTGGATTTGTGGTAAACATTAATAAACATTCTCCAGACAACTGCACGGGATGACAGGAGAGAGGCAAAATGCAGCCTAAACTTTACACAAGCTTGTTCTGGATTTTGAGACAGGAAGCAGAGGCAGAACAGGGCACTGTGAAAAAATCAAAGCAGGATGGGGCAGCACAGAGCAAGCTGGAGCCACCCCAGCAGAGCCAACAATGAAATCCACTTCCCGCCCCCCTGCCTGCATTTATTAAGTAACTGTTTCCTCAGGGTTATCACAGGATAGATCTTGTTTTAATTGCACAGTGAATTGTTTCAAGTCATTATAAACGGGGATGGCAAGTGTCATCTCCATGGCAACACATCACATCCCCAGAAATGTGCTCACAGGGCTCATGGGACACCAGAGAGGTGTGGAGGGCAGGCTCTCCTTCTGTGGGGATTCTTCCATCATCCCCGCTGGTACCTCGGCTTTGTGCTGATGGCAGCCACAATATATGGAAAGAAAACACCTAGTGAATGTATGCAACTTAGAGAACAGCCCACAAAACAGCAGAGCTGTACACAGGAATC